GCGGGGCTGACAGAAGCCAAAGCTGCAGGCTCCACCCTGAAATCCCGCCCCATCTGTAACTGCGAAATGCGACAACAAAATAGATCACAAACAAAAGAAATGGAGGACAAAAAGCGTCTGGATATAGAGTTCAAATCTACGCTTATAAGGTTTTTCAAGAATTTCCTAGAAAAGATGGATAAGGCCTATGAGGATATGAAAAGAGATCAACTAGAATTAATAAGGAGTCAACAAGAAATGATAAGGGATCAACAAGAAATAAAGAATACATTGTCTGAAATAAAAAATATTTTACTGAGTCCTAAAAACAGAAGGGAAGATCGCAAGAATCAAGTCAAAGATTTGGAACATAAAGAGCCAGAAGACACTCCTCCACAGAAGCTAGAAGGCAAGAGAATCCAGAAAATTGAAGATAATGTAAGAAACCTCTGGGACAACTTCAAGCGAACCAACATCAGAATTATGGGGGTCCCAGAAGATGAGAGAGAGCAAGATATCAAAAACATACTGAAAGAAATAGTGACAGAAAACTTCTCCTACCTGGTGAAAGAATTAGACTTACAAGTCCAGGAAGCTCACAGAACTCCAAACAAAAGGAATCCAAAGAGGACCACACCGAGACACATCATTATTAAAATTCCAAGAGCAAAAGACAAAGAGAGAATATTAAAAGAAGCAAGAGCAAAGAAGGTAGTAACCTACAAAGGAGCACCTATACGATTGTCAGCTGACTTCTCAACAGAAACCATGCAGGCCAGAAGGGAATGGCAAGAAATATTCAAGGTGATGAATAGCAAGAACCTACAGCCAAAAATAATCTACCCAGCAAAGCTATCACTCAGAATCGAAGGCCAAATAAAGAGCTTCACTAATAAAAAAAAGCTAAAGGAGTTCATCACCACCAAACCAGAATTATATGAATTGCTGAAGGGGGTTCTTTCAGAAGAGAAAGTAAACAAAGATAAAAATTATGAACAACAAATACATAACTATCAACAAGTGAATCTAAAAACCAAGGAAATTAAAAAAATCTGATGAACAATATTAACTGTTGAATATAATAGAATCAGAGGTATGGAAGGGGAGTGAACTGACGATTCTTGGGGTAAAGGGGAGAGGGGGGCGTGGGAAGAGACTGAACATAAACTGTGCACCTATGGATGAGGACAATGGGGAGAGGGGAAAGGGCAGAGGGCGGGGTGGGAACCTGGTGGAGGAGAGCAATGGTGGGGGGGGGGAAGGAACATTTGTAATAATATGAACAATAAAAACTTATTAAAAAAAATAATAAAAAAATAAAATAAAAAAAATAAAGAAATAAATAAAAAAAAATAAAGAAATTTAAAAAAATAATAATAAGCCGAAACCGGTTTGGCTTAGTGGATACAGGATAGGCCTGCGGACTGAAAGGCCCCAGGTTCGATTCCGGACAAGGGCATGTATCTTGGTTGCGGGCACATCCCCAGTAGGGGGTGTGCAAGAGGCAGCTGATTGATGATTCTCTCTCATCGATGTTTCTGACTCTCTATCCTTCTCTCTTCCTCTCTGTAAAAAAATCAATGATGTATTTTTAAAAAAATAATAATAATAAAATGGAGTGTGACTTTTTTTGTTTGTTTTTGTTTTTATATATTTTATTGATTTTTCACAGAGAGGAAGAGAGAGAGATAGAGTTAGAAACATTGATGGGAGAGAATCATCAATCAGCTGCCTCTTGCACCCCCCCCACTGGGGATGTGCCAGCAACCAAGGTACATGCCTTGACCAGAATCAAACCCGGGACCTTTGAGTCCGCAGGCTGATGCTCTATCCACTGAGCCAAACCAGTCTCGGCTGGAGTATGACTTTTGATAGAGGCTTTGCCACTTCCAATCCAGGTTGTCCTCTGGTCATAAGACATGGTAGAATATTAGAATATTCTAGAAAATGATGTTCTAAAATATTATTTTCTGATAGTACCTTAATTAGTGTAGACAACATGTAATTTGTGCAAACACTGACTTCCTAATTCACATACATCATAAAGCCTTTCTATTCTATTCTAAGGACCCCAATTTGTTCTGATTTAAAAAAAATATATATTTTTTTTATTGCTTTCAGAGAGGAAGTGAGAGGGAGAGAAAGAGTGAAACATCAATGATGAGAATCACTGATAGGATATCAACTCCATGCCCCCTACTGGGGAGCGAGGCAACAACCCTGTCATTCATTGGTCCTTGACCAGAATCAAACCTGGGACCTTTCAGTCTGTAGATCAGTGCTCTCTCCTCTCAGCAAAATCAGCTAGGGCCCAAATTGTTCCTCAAGAACAAGAATCTAACATTGGCTGAAACCGGTTTGGCTCAGTGGATAGAGCATCAGCCTGCGGACTCAAAGGTCCCAGGTTCGATTCCGGTCAGGGGCATGCATGTACCTTGGTTGTTGGCATATCCCCAGTAGGGGGTGTGTAAGAGGCAGCTGATCAATGTTTCTCTCTCATCGATGTTTCTAACTCTCTGTCCCTTTCCTTTCCTCTCTGTAAAAAATCAATAATATATATATATATATATAAAGAATCTAACATTGAAAGCAGAAGCCCCCTAGAGATGTTAAGTAATAAAGGAAACAAAATCCTGTAGTTGGAGTAGGAACTCAGGAAGGAAGTCATGCTCACCCACAGAGGCCAGGTTGCTGTAGTTCTCCAACATCACATCCAGGTACAATTTCCGCTGAGCTGGATCCAGGCATTCCCACTCCTCCTGAGAGAAATCGATGGTCACATCCCCGAAGGTCAACAGTCCCTGAAAGAAAAGACACAGTTACAAAGAGGTCACCAGAAGAGTTCATATCACCAAATATGAAAAGCAAAACGTGAAAACCAAACATGAAAAGCAATGGGGTTTTGACAGAGGGGGTATTCTAAATTATCCAGTAAGAATATTTTGCCCCAATGCCATTCTCTGATGTTTTCTAACACTGACACATGAGGATAACACATGTCAAACTCAGTACAGATTTTACTTTACAGGAAAATAAACTGTGCAATTAAAGTGTGGACACAGGCCGGGACCGGTTTGGCTCAGTGGATAGAGCGTCGGCCTGCGGACTGAAAGGTCCCGGGTTCGATTCCGGTCAAGGGCATGTACCTTGGCTGCGGGCACATCCCCGGTGAGGGGTGTGCAAGAGGCGGCTGGTCGATGTTTCTCTCTCATTGACATTTCTAACTCTCTGTCCCTCTCAATTCCTCTCTGTGTAAAATCAATAAAATATATTAAAATATATATTAAAAAAAATAAAAATAAAAATAAAAAAATAAAGTGTGGACACAGGTATATGGGTTTCTGAGTGCTAAGTTTGCATCGTTTAGGGTTAGTGGTGTATATTTCTCAGCAGGAAAAGAAGTATATGTACTTCTTCTCAAGTATAAAGTAGACCACAAGAAAATGAACTTCTGTAAAAATACAGAATCTGATCTAGGTTTGGAGATGAGGCCTGTATTTCCAAAAGTGTAACAAGCTCACTTTTTACCTGTAACGTCAATATTTCCGATCCATGTGTCATACTTCTGAATACAGAGAAAGTGAAAACACATGAAATATTCATTCAGAACTTTGAAAATAAGGGTTTGTTAATGGAATCAGTGCTCCTGGAATAGGATACATAGGAACCATAATCCTAATTGAAAATTTACTATGAGTAATCATAGAACAAGATTATTCTGCCTGGTTCAGCTGTGTGGTTCAGTGGTCCGTGCAAACCCATGCACCAAGAAGTCACTGATTTAATTCCCCGTCTGGACACACAACCAGGTTACAGGCTCAATAGCCAGTTTGAGGTGTGTAGGAGGCAGTTGGTCAATGATTCTCTCTCGTCATTTACGTTTTTATCTCTCTCTCTCTCTCTCTTCCTCTCTGAAATCTATAGAAATATACTTGGGAAAAAAACACAAAGAAAAAATAGCTGAAATAATGTTAACAGTTTAGGCACAAAGATACATTTTACAATTACGAAATCAGGACGGTTTAGTGACTGTATGAATCTCATGAATCTATTTGTGTATGATCCCCTTTGTGTTTTACAAACACAATATGGAGAGAAACTTAATGATATAAAATAAGTTAGATATACTGTTTCTTTTTTTGTGACTCTAAATCCTCCCCTACGAAGATATATTCCATTGACTTTTCAAGAATGGAAGGCAGGGAGATAGAGGGACAAAAAGGAGAGGGAGAGAGAATGAGTAAGAGAGAGACAGAAAGAGACATCAATGTGAAACACAGACAGAGACACATGGATTGGCTGCCTACCGCAGGTACCCAGGAGTTACTTGCCTTGGATCAGGAATCAAACCCTCCACCACTGATCCACACCAGCTTGGGTTAACTTAATTTTTCTTACTGGAACATTTCCTTAAAAAATTTTATGTATCATTAGTGGAGAGCTATATTATAGAGATGTTAGAGATGGCTGCTTTCCAAGTTTGATCCATCACAAAAGGGATGTTTTGAGTAGTTGAAAGTAACTAATTAAAGATGGGAATGCTTCCTGATCTGGGGAGGGTGACAAAATGAATGCAGACAAAGCTCTGGCACAAAGGAGGGAATTATAACCCAGCCAGTGTGGCTGAGAGTAAGAGGGCTGACCTATGAGCCAAAGGACAGACTTAGGTTCCTTAACAGAGCACACACCAGGTATCAGACTCCATACCCAGTGCAGGGGTGGTGCAGGAGGCAGATGATCCATGATTCTCCAATCTAATTGATGTTTCTACCTCTCTATTCCTCTCCTTTCCATTCTGAAACCAATAAACAATATATATTTAAAAAGAGAGAAAAAAAAGAAAAACACACAGAAAAAGAGAGAAATATTGAAACTGCTGACATTGACTATGCTAAAATAAAGTACTGAAATAAGGAATGAAAAACAACCTGCAAATGCCAGAACATCAGAAATACAGAAATAAATCACCAGAATTTAGAGGAAAAGTAAACATAATCTCTGACACAGGACACATCTTTTACCTGAGAAGCAGCCATTTGGTCCATGTCTGGGATGTTTCCTCACGTGACACTATGTTGAGGAGCTTCAGAAAGTGCCTTCAAAGAAGTTAGCACAACCTGTTAATCAGCTCCCCCCACACTCACAGTCAGAAGGACCTCGAAATGGAGAAAAGGCCACCCCCTCCTGACCTTTGTCACAGGAGAGAGTCAGGAACAATGAGCTCCTACATGGAGACCACATTGGGAGGAGTTTCATTTCGTTTTTATGTGTCTCTCCTCCCAAAGACATCCAAAAACTCTTACAGAAATGAGAACATGAGCTGTTGTCCTGACCCCCAAACCAAACCGAGCACCCCCTTACCTCCCTGAACAAAGCCTGCTCCCCACTCTTACAAAGACATCTTGCAAGCCTCCTACTAATCCCTGTCTGCACCTTACAATCACCTGGAGCACCTCAGTAACCAATGAGGACTTGATGCTGTGTCCCAGTTTGTGCTGGTCCAGACTCTGACAGCAGGGAGGAGGATGTCCCATCCCCACAGAATCAGCCCGAATCACGCAAAGGTCAGACAGCTCTAGGTGGCCTGACAGCCATCTGACACAGGGAGGAGGAAGTCCCGCCCCTAGAGAATCAGCAGGTGGTCAGACAGCTCCCTCCACGGACAACTCCTCCTGTGCCGCTCCCACTTCTGCTCACCAGGACCCTCTCCCTCTCAGCGCACCTTCCTCTCTCTGGGGCTCCCCCTCCCCCTATTTCTCCACTTCCTTCCTCCTCAGGCTGCTTTCCCCAGTTACCCCCTCACTCCCACCATCGCCGTCCAGTCCCTCCCTCACCCCTATGGGCCCTCTGTGGACCCCTCTCCGCCCTCCTCCTCCCCCGGGTCTGTCTCTCCCTCCCTCTCCTGCCCCCCAGCCCGGCCCCCGCCCCGCAGTCACCGCCCCACAAAGTCCTCCCTGGGGCAGGTCCCTCTTCCGGGGACACCGCGTTCTCCCCGAGCCCACCCCCTGGCACTGGCCCCCTGGCACTCAGACCTGATTAATGGGGGGCCTGGGAAGGCGGGCGCAGACCCCCAGGCCGGGCCATCCGGGCTCTTTGGGCGGGAAGCGCCGGGCGGGGGAGGGCAAAGGGCGGGAACCACTGACCAGACCTCCAGCCCCGCGGGGGCCCCGGCGGCCCCGGGGACGGTTTTCGGCGGGAAAACCACACGGCGGGCGGGCCCACAGCCACAGGCGGACAGACCGCGGGCCGGGCCTCAGTTTCCCCCAAAGGAACGCGGCGCCTCCACTGCGCAGCCCCCGGAACGCACACTCACCGCCGAAAGGGGCTCCGGGCGGGGCTCCCACACGGACTTCAGCGCCCGCAGCGCCCTCAGCCCGCCCTGCGGGGAGGGGCCGGAAGCGGCGGCTTTAAAGCACAGACACCGCCTCAGGGAGCCGCCACCGGCCCCTCCGCAGCCGCTTCCGGCTGCCAGGACTGCGCATGCGCCCCCCCTGCGGGGGGCGGGGCCTGAGCGGCGCGGCTCCGCGGTGGGGGCGGGGCCAGGCCTGTGCGGGGACAGAGAGAGGGGGCGGGGCGGAGCCAGGGGGCGGCTTGGGCCCCTCCCCCCCTCCCACAGGGACAGCCTTTCCTGGGGGAGTTCCTGTCATTGTTGGGGTTTGGCTGGTGGCGTCGCTGTGACCGGATTCACAAGGAGAGAAGAGACAGGAGCAGAGAGGGCGGTGATTTTGCTTCTTTAAAGGGAGGAGAGGGCCCGGTGCCCTCTGATGACACAAGGCTCCCCACAGAGAGGGGCTGGTCTTCTATTAGGGTGCCATGGCGTAATGGCAGCTGTGGCAGAAGCATAAAGAGGGGAGGAGGGCCTGAATGGTTTGGCTCAATGGATAAAGCATCAGCCTGAGGACTGAAGGGTCCCAGGTTTGATTGTGGTCAAGGGCATGTGCCTTGATTGCGGGCACATCATCAGTAGGGGGTGTGCAGGAGGCAGGTGATCTATGTTTCTCCCATTGATGTTTCTAACTCTCTATCGCTTTCCCTTCCTTTCTGTAAATAATCAATAAAAATATATATATATATATTTAAAAAAGAATATGTAAAGACAGGTTATTCTATCTCCTCCTTTTATGAGGATCCAACTTCTATCAGAATAGGACCCCACTCTTGTGACCTCATATATCCTCAAAGACCTCCCTAAACACCCTATCTCCAAATATAGACATATAGGGGGTTAGGAATTAAAAATATTCATTTTAAGGGGACACAATTTAGTCCTTAAGAGCGCTTCAACTTCATTCGCGGTTATATAAAACCACCCCAAACAGATTCTATTAATGCAACATACTTCAGTATCTCTTGAGTCTATGGGTTGGCCAGGTGGTTCTTTGCTTCATGTGCTATTGGTAAAAGGTTTTTTCTTAGATCAAAACATGATTTCCTGCCGAAACCAGTTTGGCTCAGTGGATAGAGCATTGGCTGTGGACTGAAAGGTCCCAGGTTCAATTCCAGTCAAGTGCATGTACCTTGGTTGCAGGCACATCCCCAATAAGGGGCGTGCAAGAGGCAACTGATCAATGTTTCTCTCTACCCTCTCTCTTCCTCTGTAAAAAAATCAATAAAATATATTAAAAAAACAAACAAAAAACAAAAACCTTGGTGTTCAGCTAGGGCCTCTCACTGAGCAGGTGACTGCAATAAAAATGGTTATAATTTGCCCTAACCGGTTTGGCTCAGAGATAGAGCATCGGCCTGTGGGCTGAAGGGTTCCAGGTTCGATTCTGATCAGGAGCATGTACCTTGATTGTGGGCACTTCCCCAGTTAGGAGGTGTGCAGGAAACAGCTGATCAATGTTTCTTTCTCATCGATATATCTAACTATCTCCCTTCCTCTCTGTAAAAAAATCAATAAAATATATATATTTTAAAAATTGTTAGAGCCGAAACCGGTTTGGCTCAGTGGTAGAGCGTTGGTCTGCGGACTGAAAGGTCCCAGGTTCGATTCCAGTCAAGGGCATGTACCTGAGTTGTGGACAAATCCCCAGTAGGGGGTGTGCAAGAGCAGCTGGATGGTTTCTCTCTCATCGACGTTTTTAACTCTCTATCCTTCTCTCTTCCTCTCTGTAAAAAATCAATAAAATATATTTTTAAAAATTTGTTATGATATGTCCAAGACATAGAAGTCATATGTGAGCTAAATGTACGGAGCCTGAGATAAAAACATAGGGTTAAATCTTCATGACTTTGGATTTTAAAATAGTTTGAGATGACACCAACACAAAAACAGAGAAAGGTTAAAGAAATTACTCATCATCAAAATTTATGCTCTTGCCCTAGCAGCTGATTTGGCTCAGTGAATAGAGCGTTATTCTGTGGACTAAAGGGTCCCATGTTTGATTCTGGTTAAGGGCACATGCCCGGATTGTGGGCTTGATCCTCATGATGGGGGCATCCAGGAGGCAGCCAATCAATGATTCTCTCTCATCATTGATATTTTGATCTCTCTCTCTTCCTCTCTGATATATATAGTATGCTCTATGCAAAGATTCTAGCACCACAGGGAAAATAAATCTGTGTAAATACATCTATGTAACGTCGGCCTGCAGACTGAAAGGTCCCAGGTTCAACTCTGGTCAAGGGCATGTACCTTGGTTGCGGGCACATCCGCCGTAGAGGGTGTGCAGGAGGCAGCTGATAGATGATTCTCTCTCATTGATGTTTCTAACTCTCTATCCCTCTCCCTTCCACTCTGTGAAAAATCAATAAAATATATTTTTTTAAAATTGAGAGAGACTGTAAAGCATCAATTAAGTGGTTCACATAAGAGAGGCATCTTTACCTGAGTTCCCAGCAGGCCTGCTCTGACCTGCTCCAGCTCCTTCCACAATGTTCTGGACATTGAAACACCCTGTATATGCTGTCTTCATTCAAAGTCAGCCAGTCCTCATGGGTCAGCTAACTCTGAGCACGGTTATCCTCATACCTATTAAATGTCCACCGTCTTGGATTAGAGATCTGACTACAGCAATGTTCTCTGCAGAGTAGTTCTTTTAGGGCCAAGAGGTAGGCGTGAAATAACTTTTTTCCAGCCCTGTACTTTCATGCTGAGTCTTTTGATCTTAAGTGGGTCTCCTGTAGAAAGCATAAGCATGGTCTTATTCTCCTAAACTGTCTTCTGGTTGAAGCAGTGAACCCATTTATATTGTGAGTGAATATTTACAGGTAAATAGTCATAGGCATTTTAAAAATTAATCAGTACTGTCATTGTAGGAACTTTAACTTCCAAATCACATCAATGGATAGAATCTCCCAGACAAATAAATAAGGAGAAAGTGGTCTTGAAGGATGCAGTAGGAAAGATGAATTTTATGTTTAAAGCTGTGATTATGAACCCAAGTGTCACCCAGAAAAACTGGTGTCCTGCAAGATCTTTTGAAAAAGCAACACTTGACTAGTCAGTAGCAAAGACTATATAACCCATAGATTGCCAAAGAAAATAAGTGACAACAGCCAACACAGTAATAGGTGTCTGGTGTGCATGAATAATAAACATACTTTTTTGTAAGACTGGCAAAAAATGTATTTTGATGAACCACTGAATTTAATTAGTTCATGTGCGCCATGAGATTTAAACAAAACAAAAAAAAATCTCTTATTTAGAGCTTTTCACCCCAAAGCAGAATATGAATTCTGGAGAAACTCAACACAGAATGCCCTCTAAACCAAGGGACAATGTCTGCTTCATGTCTTTTTTAATGGCCACGGGCAGTTCGGGGTGGGGGAAGATCTTGTATATTTTGTCCAACACAACTCTTCAAGAGTCCTCACTACAGCACCAGAAAATGGAACTATTGTCTAGATAAGACTGAATTCTATGAATGATCCGGATCCAATAGTCTGTCCTGTAACATAACAAATTCATAAAACCTGTGTTCCAGATCAGTCCCAGTTACAAAATATGAGCACAAACATATATAATACATGTGAATGCTCCAGAGGTATGTCAGAAAGTAGAATATTGAACATCTTGTCTCTGTAATGATTTGGTGATTCCTCAGGGTGGCACGTGCATAGGAACTGATGTTTACCACCTCGTACAAATTCATCCCTGGACACTGAAGAATAAATGTTCGGCTTCCTCATTTTAATCTCTGCTTACCTGCTGTCCCTGAAACTTGCAGTGATGGCTTGGCAAACACTCCAGGGACAACTAATGCCACTGGATATACCTATGCTCAGGTCGTGAATATACAAAAGAATTTTGCATCCAAAATAATTAAAAGGTTTCAACTGCAAAGCTGTCATGGTTCTGGGGTTCCTCTAGAAAGAATGACCAACATTAGGCTACATTCAAGAAAATGAGAATTGCTGAAACCTGTCTGGTTCAGTGGATAGAGCGTCGGACTGCGGACTGAAGTGTCCCGGTTCGATTCAGGTCAAGGGCATGTACCTTGGTTACGGGGACATCCTCAGTGGGGGTGTGCAGGAGGCAGCTGATCAATGATTCTCTCTCATCAATGTTTCTAGCTCTCTTTCTCTCTCTGTAAAAAAAATCAATAAAATATATTTTAAAAGAAAAGAAAATGAGAATAGATTTACTCTCATCATTGATGTTTCTATCTCTCTCCCTCTCTGGGGCAGGGCTAACTGATGTTTTTTCTCTCCTTTTCCTTTCCTTTACAAAATCAATAAAAATATGTATTAAAAATGTGAGAATAAAACCTGTTTAATATGGGTTAATACCATCCCAATAAAGAAGTTAAGAAGAAATTATTAAGTTTTCCAATGAAAATCAGGACAAGAAAAATCACTGCAATTACAAAGTACACAGATGCCTATTTGTGGTATTCCAAAACTTCATATTCATATTAAAAACTATAGGTGTCAGCATGAACCCACATGGTGGCCTACATACTTGATGAAAATAAACAAAAATATTCACCAAATTCTGATGTCAGTCATTGAATTATGAATTCCAAACTACTGAGTGGAAGTTACAAGAGCTTGAAAGGATGATGTGGGACAGGAAGATCTTTACATGCTGTAGTCATAGCACTGCAAAAAGAATGGCAGAGAAACATCAGTTTCTGGTCAGTTTGACTCAGCGCATGGAGCATTGGTCTGTGGACTGAAGGGTCTCAGGTTCGATTCTGGTCAAGGGCACATGCCTTGGTTGCAGGCACCAAACACAGTAGGGGGGTTGCAGGAAGCAGCCAATCAGTGATGCCCTGTCATCATGGATATTTCTATTTCTCCTCCTCTCTCAAATCAATAAAAATATATATATTAAAAAAAAGAATGGCAGTCTAGAAGATAAAGTGAAAACCCAGAGGAACAGGAAATGGAAAATGAAAGAAATAGAATTAATTTTTCTGAGTTCACTCAGCAATATAACCTGGGAACGGTGTCCTCTCTCCACATGCAGAGTTCATGCCAATTCTGCATCCTGGTTATTGCAATGTCACTGGTATTGCAATATTCCTCTTAACTATGGAAAATCTATTACACAGACAGCACTGTTCTGAGTGTAGTTCTGATCACCTAAATGTGACAACCACAAACTAACATATCCTCAAAAAGTTTTCAGCTGAACACATTGGCACAGAAAAGGAAGTAACTTTGATGACATCATTTACAAAAGTTGAGAACTATTTTTAAAAATTAATTTAATAGGCTTATTACCTAATAGAAGAAAATAATGTCCCTTACAATTTAGACCATATTCCATGGGAAATTCTACACAAGTGAAGTCCATATTATATACAACAGCTCACAAATCTCTAAGACTGAAACAATCATCCCCATCAGTTCACTCACACACACCAGGAATAAAACATAACAGCATCAAGTGATATGGGATTACAATCACATTAATATTTCCTTTTCAAAAGACTTTGAGTGATTTCAATACAAATGAGATAACACTCTAAATAACTGTACATATGGAAACATCAATTCCTTTTTATTTATAACAAATATTACCTAACTACATTTAACGTATGGAGTACACTGTATAATACTTTTTGACTTAAAGAGCAATACCTGAAAGGCATTTGGCTACCTATCTAGTGTGAATACAGTGATTCTTTGAAATTCATAATCAATTACATACTTGGATCATGTTTTTACATCTTTAAAGTCACTTTAAGGCATTAATTCATTAAAGTTTTGTAAAATGTGTATTTTGAACAAAAGTCTCTTTCTATATCATGAATGTAGAATTTCAACCCAATTATAATCCCTCATATGATTGGGGCTGTGGGTCCAACTATATGATTTCCCACATTCTTCAGATTTAAGGTTTCCCTTTAGAATAAATTCCAATGTGAGGAATAAGATACAGATGCTGATTATAGACTTTAGGACAATGTTTATATTTCTACTACAGGTCTGATGCACGAAGATTCATGCAAGAATGGGCCCTCCTCCTCTGGCTGCTGGTGCCACCTTTCCATGCTGCCCAGAGGCCTGGAGCTACAGTGTATGCAAATTATCCAGCCATCTTTGTTGTGTTAATTTGCATACACACTCCTCTTTGGCTGGTGGAGCAGGGTTCACGAAGGTATGGTGAATTAGCATCTAATTCTTTTATTAGTGTAGATTGTTTCTTTCCAGTATAAATTCTGATGTCAGATAAGGTTTGCATACTGAGTAAGCTTTGTCACATTCTTTATATCTGTGGGACTTTGATCCAGTAATAATTACCACTTGTGGTATTAGATATAAATGAGGATATACAATTGACATATGCCTCATAATTGTAAGACCTCATTTTATCATTTTCAATGAAGTTTCAACCATGAACAAATCTGTGGATGAAAACTTTTTATTATTGCAGTTTCATTAGAAAGATTCCTAAAATGGTAAGATTCCCTGCAGCTTAACAACTTTCTCACATTTTCTACAGTGTAAGGTTTCCCTGCACCTTTAAAATCTTTGATGTGCAGTAAATTTTGAGTTGCGTGTAACGGCTCCAGCACATTCTCTACATTTCCACTGTCTCTTTCTGTTATGAAATCTCTCAGGTACAGTCCTATGTGAATGGCTTTTAAAGGCTATTTTACATTTTTTACATTCATAAGGCTTCTTTCAAGTATGAATTCTGTGATGTTCAGTAAGTTCCCATGGCTGATCAAGGACTTATGACACTAAGCACATCTGTAAGACTTCTCTCAAGTATGAACTCTCTGCTGCATAGTGCAGGAGGCACACTGAATAAAAGCTTTTTACACTTTGCACATGTTCTAAGGCTTCTCTCTGATATGAACTCTCTGATGCCTAATAAGGTCTGAGGATCTAACAAAGGATTTGCCACATTCTCTACATTGATAAGGCTTTTCTCTGGTATGAATTCTCTGATGTTTAGTAAGGGATGAGCAGGTAGCAAGGGCTTTGCCACATTCTCTACATATATAAGGCTTCTCTACTGTATGCAATATCTGATGTGCAATGAAGCGTGAGGACCTTATAAAGGCTTTCCCACATTCTCTACATTCATATGGTTTCTCTCCAGTGTGAATTTTCTGATGATCAGTAAGAGATGAGCAGTGGCTGAAAGCTTTGCCACATTCTCTACATATATAAGGCTTCTCTCCAGTATGAACTCTCTGATGTCGCCTAAGCTTTGTGGACTCACTGAAAGCTTTGCCACATTCTCTACATTTATAAGGCTTCTCTCCTGTATGAATTCTTTGATGTATAACAAAGTTTGAATACCTGCTAAAGGCTTTTCCACATTCTCTACATTTATAAGGTTTCTCTCCTGTGTGAATTCTCTGATGAGTAGTAAGGGATGAGGAGGTAGCAAGGGCTTTCCCACATTCACTACATTTATAAGGCTTCTCTCCTGTGTGAATTCTCTGATGATAAGTAAGGGATGAAGCGGTGTTAAGGGCTTCCCCATATTCTTCACATTTATAAGGCTTTTCTCCTGTGTGAATTCTCTGATGATAAGTAAGGGATGAGAAGGTAGCAAGCGCTTTTCCACATTCTCTACATTTATAAGGCTTCTCTCCTGTGTGAACTCTATGATGATAAGAAAGTGATGAGGAATGCCTAAAGGCTTTGCCACATTCTATACATGTATAAGGCTTCTCTCCAGTATGAACTCTCTGATGTGTAATAAGGTTAGAGACCTGGCTAAAAACTTTGCCACATTCTCTACATTTAAAAGGCTTCTCTCCAGTATGAACTCTCTGATGTTGATTAAGTGCTGAGGAATCACTGAACATTTTGCCACATTCTCTACATCCATAAGGCTTCTCTCCAGTATGAATTCTCAGATGAATACTAAGAGCTGAGGGACTGGTAAAGGCTTTGTCACATTCTGAACATTTATAAGACTTTTTTCTTTTATGATTTCTATGTTTTTGAGTATGTCTTGGTGATTGACTGAAGCCTTTTCCATTTTCCCCGAGTTTGAAAAATTTTCCAATATTATGAATTCTTCCTTTATGTACAATAAGAGATGAATGACATTTAAAGGCTTTGCCACATGCTTTACATTTGTAAGGCTTCTCTCCAGGATGAATTCTCTGGTTTAAAGTACAGCCTGAAGGACAAATAGAATCTTTACCTTGATAAGGTTTCCCCCCCATATCGATTCTTTTGCATCTATTTAGTTTGAATATTTGACTGAACACTCTCCCACATGGATTCCATTTGTAAGCCTCCTCCCGAGAATGAATATTCTCCTTTTCATTGTAATTTGATGATTGCTGAAAACACTGGACACATTGACTTCCTTTGTGTGTTTTCTCCACAATAGGAATAACCTGATTTATGTTCTGACTGAACATTTGATTAAAGACTTTTCCACTTTTACAATAGTCCTCTGCATGCTCACTTGTCCAATGATTAAGATATGTCTCTTGATTAAAGTTTTTCCAATGTTCAATCCATTGATAACTGCTATCTCCTTTATGTGTACTCTGGTGATAACGGAAGACAGAAAGACCTTTAGTGACAGTTATAATTTCATTAGCTTGTTCCATTAGAACCATTTTGTGATACTCATTAAACCAAGATGATTGTATAGAAAAAGCTTACCTAATTTATTAAAATTGTAGACAATAAATAGAAAACATTGTCAGAGGGAGAATAAATTAATCCTTGTTTAAAAGATTACCAAATTGCCCTCGCTGGTGTGGCTCAATGTATGGAGCGTTAGACTCTGGAATGAAGGGTCCTGGGTTCAATTCCAGTCACGGGCACAAGCATGGGTTGTGGGCTCGATTCCCAGTAAGGGGAATGCAAGGAGAAGCCTATCAATGATTCTCTCTCATGACTGATGGTTCTCTCTATCACTTTTCCCCTCCCTTCCCTCTGAAATTAATAAAATATATTTTAAGATATTAATAAAAAAGAATAAATAAAAGATTAACAAATTGCCCTGCATGCATGGTTCAGTGGTTGAGCTTCAACACATGAACAAGGAGATCACGATTCCATTCCCAATAAGGGCATATAGCCCAGCTGCTGGATCAGCTCCCAGGGGGAGGCATGCAGGAGGCCACCAATTAATGATTTTCTCTCATTGATGTTTTCCTCTCTCTCTCTTCAACTCCTCCTCTCTGAAATCTAGAAAAATATATTTTTAGTTAAAAAACCATAACTAATTGACAAATTAACCACATTATAATTTTATAGGTACATTATAAATCTATATATTTTAGAATAATTGACCAAAGTTAAATCAATTATTTACACTACAGACTATGCAAATTCCTAGTTTTTCCAGTATTTCCTTTCCAAGAATGCATAACAGAAAAATTTGTTTTCAACCTTAATGTGCACAAACATTCTGATCTGCCAATGAAACTGACTTTTAATTGGGAGGTTTCCCAAATACATAATACATCTGATAACTTTAGGTAAAGATAAATTTATTATGATAACTGTCCCAGAATAGTTTTTGTTTATATTCACGTCCTCCTTTCTCATCACACTCTTCCTCAAATTCCAAGGCTTTCATTAAGTGTACATTATCAAAGTAACACCTTTTATATCTTACCAGTATTATTTCCGGGAATAAATCTTGTATTCTGGGCGTTGGCATAAAAGCCTCTTTATCTTTAGATGGTTTAGCTGAAAGAAAAACAAATTTTCAGTTTTGACAATCAGGTGAATATATTCTGAACTTACCAGCAACTATTAACTAAATGACATTTTGGAGTACTCCATGAGCAAGTGAACAATTCAGAGAAAGCTCCAGATAGATACAATGAGAAAAACTGACATCGAAGAAGGAGAAAGAGTTGCTTACATTTGCTAATAACTGCTCAAACGCCCTGGCACACAATGGCAATATTATTAAAACGCTTCCAATTCCCAGTTTCAGAGCAAGAGAGAGAGAGAGAGAGAGAGAGATGGAGACATGAGGGAAGTGCATTTGTGCATCTTCTATTTGTGGTATTCTATTAGAGAAACACGTATCACTTTGATTTCTCTTGTGGAACTTTAGAAAATAAAAAGAATAGTCTGACGGGCATGGCTCAGTGGATAAGGATTTACCTATGAACCAAGAGGTCACAGTTTGATTACCTACTAGGGCACAATCCTGTGTTGTGGTTCCTTTCCCCATTGTGTGTGTGTGTGTGAGAGTGTAAGAATCAATTCTCTCTCATCATGGATGTTTCTATCTCTCTCCCCATCACCTTCTCTGAAATAAAAATGTATTTAAAAAAAAAAAAAAAATATATATATATATATATATATATATATATATATATTATATATATTTATATATGTGTGTGTATATATATATATGTATATATAAAATAAAATCTTAAATCTCTGCTTGGACACAACATTAAAGATAATGTGATATCCACTTATGTGGGTATATATTGAATAGGTAAAAATGGCAATCCATAGATTTTTTTGTATGCAACTGACACTATGAGTTTAAGGTACAGTGTTATAACCTTAAGATATTGTATGTAGTTCCCATGGTCACAAGTAAAACAGAAAGTAAATAAAAAGTGATATCTACTAAGAGGTGACAATTCTGTATTACAAACCACAACCTCTATATTTCTAAAAATATACATATAGGTATATAATTAATTTCTCAAAATATACTATGTAAAACCACCCAATGAATTTACCTATTTTCCTGTAAGGTAACAAATGTTAATACAAAATAACAAATTAAGGGTGTATTTACATGAAAAACAGCATAATTGAAAATGAAATATTAACAGTTTACATCCTAAGAAGGTGCATGACTTGTATGCTGTAAAGCATAAAATATTACTGGCTGCCCTCTGCAGTGTGTCTCAGTGGTTAGAGTATGGAGCCACCCAAGAAATGGTTGCAGGTTGGATTTGAACCCCATTTGGGATGTGTGAGCAAGCCAAATATACATCTCTTTCTCATATCCATATTTCTCTCTTTTTCAACCCCTCCCTCCCTTCTATTCTCTAAAACTCAATGGGAATAATATCATCGAATGAGCAGTGACAAAAGAAAACACACACACACACACACACACACACACACACACACTCACACGCACACGCACACACACACTGCAGGCTTTAATTAAAGAAGAAATCAATAAGTTGGAAAACACATTCCTTGATCCTACTCTGAAATGCTAACAGAATCAGCTGTCATTAGTACTCAAAGTGAGCTAAACATTCAAAGCAATCCCTATCAACGTCCCAGTGACACTCTTGCTGGAAATAGAAAAGCTCCGTATAAAGTTAATGTGAATTTCACAGAACTCCATGTAACAAAGTGAATCGTGAAAAGAATGTGTGAAAATAAAAGAATGTATACTATTAAAACATACTTCAGCCGAAACTGGTTTGGATTAGTGAATAGAGCGTTGGCCTGCAGACTTAAAGGTCCCAGGTTCGATTCCGGTCAAGGGCATGTACCTTGGTTGCAGGCACATACCCAGTAGTGAGTGTGTAGAAGGCAGCTGATCGATGTTTCTTACTCTCCCTCTCCTCTTCCTCTCTTTAAAAAAATCAATAATATATATATTTTTTAAAATGAAAAGAAGTAAGTGAAAGAATCCCAGGTAGCCCACTTGCTTAGAGGTCTGTACAAATATAATGAAGTTGTAGGTTTGATCTCAGGTCAGGGCACATACAAAAATTCAACTATTGACCAGTTGAAATTTCTACCTCTCTCTAATTCTCCCTTCCTCCCTAAATTCAATAAAATCTTAAAAAAATGTATATAAAAATAAAAGTAAATGAAGTGTGAATTTTGATTGAGCATTTCCAAATTGCAATCCAGGTTGTCCTCTGGCCACAAATTATGGTAGAATATTACAATATTCTAGAAAATGACCTTCTAAAATATTATTTTCTGATAGTACCTTAATTAGTGTAGACAACTTGTAAAGTGTGCAAACACTGAGTGCCCAATTCACATACATCACAAAGCATTTCATTTCTACCCCCAATTTGTTCCTCTTTTCAAACTGTATATTTTCATTGCTTTCAGAAAGAAGGGAGAAGGAGCAAGAGATAAAAACATCAATGATAAGAATCACTGATTAGTTAGTTCCCTCCTGCACACACCCTATGGGAGAGGGAGTCAGCAACCAGGGAACTGGCCCTTGATCAGAATCGACCTGGGATCTTTCAGCCTGCAGGCTGGCACTAGATCCACTGAGCCCAACCAGCTAGGGCCCAACAAGTCATCCTCACCTAAGGAGACCAGGTTTCTGTAGTTCTCAGACATCACATCCATGTACAGCTTCCGCTGAGCGGGGTCCAGGCATTCCCACTCTTCTTGAGAAAAATCTATGGCCACATCCCTGAAAGTCAATTGACCCTGAAAGAAAAGACACACCAGCAGAGTTCATAATGTCACCCAACATGCAAACAGTGTTAAGAGAAGAGGTTTGGACCTAACAGAGTATCCTAAATTATCCAGTAAGAATACTTTGCTCCAGTAACAATCTCTGTGTTTTGTGACATATGAGGATGACCCATGTCCACAAACCCACAGTACAGATTTTACTTTACAGGAAAATAAACTTTAAAATTAAGGCATGGCCCTTGTTGGTCAGGCTCAATAGACAGAGTGGCGGGCTGCAGACTGAAGAGTCACGTATTCGATTCTGATCAAGGGCACATGCCAAGGGTTGTGGGCTGGATGCCCAGTAGGGGTTGTGAAGGAGGCAGCCCATCAAGGATACTCTCTCATCATTTTTTTCTTTCTCTCACTCTTTGCCTCTCTGAAATCAATAAGAATATATTAAAAAAATAAATACATTAAAAAACATTAAAGGCATGGAAACAGCCATATGAATTTCAGAGTGCTGCATTTGCCTTGTTTAGAGTCAGTGGTATATATTTCCCAGTTGGCATTGTCATGCTGCATTGAAAGTATATGGTCTTTGTCGCGCGTGTAAAGCAGACCACAACAAAATGAGTTTTTGTACAACTACTGATCCAGGTTCTGACTGACATGGGGCCTGTGTTTTCACATGTGTAACAAGTTCACATTTTACTTGTGATGCCAATGTTTCTGCATCATGCGCCACACTTCTGATCACAGAGAAAAAGAAAACACAAGGAACAATTCACACAGAACTTTGAATTAAAAGGGTTTGCTAATGGAATACAGGTCTCATGGAATAGGAAACATAGGAACCACAATTCTAGTTGGAAATTTACTATGAGCATCTTAGAACAAGATTCTTCTGCTTTGTCCACCTAGTTTGGCTCAGTGGTTGAACATGACCCATGTACCAAGAAGTCACTGATTCAATTCTTGGTGTAAGCACACAACCAAGTTGTGGGCTCAATCCCCAGTGTGGGGTGTGCAAGGGGCAGCCGATCAATGATTCTCTCTCATCAATGACGTTTCTATCTATCTCTACCTCTCCCTTCCTCTCTGAAATCTATAAAAATATACTTGGGGGGAAAAAGTTGAAATATTAACAGTATAAGCAGAGACGCACATTTTACAACTATGAAATCAACATGGTTTAGTGATTTTCTAAATCTCATGAATCTATTTGTGTATATTCCCCTTTGTGTTTTATAAACACAATAAGCAGAGAAACATAAGGATAGAAAACAAGTTAAACCTGCTTCCTTTTTGTGATTGTAAATCCGTACCTGGAGAGATTTTTACCACAGACTTTTCAAGAGCAGAAGGTAGGGAGGTAGAGGCACAATGGGAAAAAGGGAGGGAGGGAGGGAGGAAGGAAGAATAGAGACAGAGAGAGGTGAAAGAGACACAGAGACACAGGGATTGGCTGCCTACCACAGGTTCCCAGGAGCTACTTGCCCTAGACCAGGAATCAAACCCTCCACCACTGATCCATACCAGCCTGTGGGAACTAATTTTTCTTATGAGTACATTTCTTTCAAAATTTTTATGTATCATTAGTGGAGAACTATGTTTTAGAAATTTAATGAATCTGAAGATACATTAATAATGTCATTCTTAGAAACTTCCTAGAGAATACAAAAAGTGATCATGCAGGCTATGTCCATGATGCGAGTAATGAGTATTAAGTAAAATGTAAAGAATCAAAGCCTAATTAGTTAAAGGTCCCATGCAAAAGCCAATGATCTGTAGGAAATAAAAGTAAGTCCTTCATTTTCCAAAGGAAATACAAAATAAGAAGAGGGACATTTCCAGATGGGAAGTGATGGTCTTTGCAAATTTTCATTAAATCGCTACTACACCCTTATTCCTGAGAAAGGGAGAATATTAATTCACAGTGACTCCTTCTGACAAGTGAACACCAGGCGGGCTGAGAAAATGGGCATCATATAACTGAAGCACAACAGAAGATCAGGTCCTCACTGCTGTGATATTACTGCCAAAAATACATCAACAATTATGTGAAATTATTACAAATAAACATTAATTTTTGAAAGTGTCAATTCACCTGTACCTCTCATGTTCCTTAAACTAATAGTACAGTTACCTACCAAGGCTTTTGTACTAATCTAATAAACAAGTTTCTTCTATTTGCCCCTATTTTCAGAGCTTTCTGAGCTATTCTGAGCAGTAAGATGTGATCTAGAGTTGATGAACGCTTAAACCTAAAACCTTCATTTGGTTTCTTCAGTGATACCTGAGCCTCTGACCCCATCCCAGTAGTGATGTTCGACATGGCTGTCTTCCAAGTTTGATTTTTCACCAAAGGAATATTTTGAGTAATTGAAAGTCACTAATTAAAAGTAGGAATGCTTCCTGACCTGGGGAGGGTGGCAAAATGAATGCAGACAAGGATTTGGGACAAAAGAGGAAAATACAACTTGGCCAGAGAAGCTGAGAGGTAGAGGGCTGACCTATTAACCAGGAGGGCAAGCTTAGATTCCTGTTCAGGGCACTTGCCAGGTATCAGATTCAATACCCAGTGCAAGGTGGGGTACAGGAGACAGCTGACCCCTGATTCTCTCTCTCTCTCTCCCCGTCCTTTCCATGCTGAAATTAATAAAAGTATATTTTAATGGAGATTAAAAAAAGATAAAACACACTCAGAGAGAAATACAGAAACAGCTGACTTTGACTATGCTGAATAAAGTAATGAATTTGGAAAGAAAAACAACCTGCAAAGGAAAGAACATCGGAAATAGAGAAATGAATCACCAGATGGTAAAGGAAAAGCAAACACAGCCTCTGACATAGGACACATCTTTTACCTGAGAAGCAGCCATTGGTCCTGGTCCTGATCGAGATCTGGGATGTTTCCTCAGGTGACACTATGTTGAGGAGTCACAGAATGTGCCTTCAAAGAAGTCAGAACAGTCTCTTAATCAACTCACCTCATACTCACAGTCAGAAACGAGAAAAAGGCCACCCCTCCTGTCCTTGGACATAGGAAAGTTAGCAACAATGAGCTCCTAAATGGAGACCCCTCTGTGAGGTGTTTTATTTCATCTTTATATGTCTCTCCTCCCAAAGACAACAGAAAAGAGGTGACTGGAACAAACCCGGAAAAAACCCCTGCTCCCCACTCTCACAAAGACAACCTGCAGCCCTCCTGCTAATTCCAGTCCTCAGCTTCCAAGCACCTGGAGCAATTCAGTAACCAAGAATGCCCCACCCAGAGCAGCTTCCCAACCCTATGGAGGAAAGCACACCTGAGGGCATTTCTTCGTTTATCTCGGGATGTTTTTTTTTTTTTTTTTTTTTTTTTTTTTTTTTTTTTTAAATATATTTTATTGATTTTTCACAGAGAGGAAGAGAGAGGGATAGAGAGCTAGAAACATCGATGAGAGAGAATCATCGATCAGCTGCCTCTTGCACACCCCCCACTGGGGATGTGCCCGCAGCCCAGGTACATGCCCTTGCCCGGAATCGAACCCAGGACCTTTCAGTCCACAGGCCGACGCTCTATCCACTGAGCCAAACCGGTCCCGGCTATCTCGGGATGTTTTTAAATAATAAATCAAGTGTCAGAGATAGAAAAAGTAAATCCAGGGAAGTAACACACACAACCCACAAAGCACCACACACACCACAGCAACAACAAAACTAAGGCTTCTAATGTTCCTTGGAAATGCATCAAATGGTGACAGACACAGATACCTCCTCCTTGCCATCCCAGGAAATGAAAAGGGACCCATGAGCAACGGAGAAGTCTCTCCCTGTTGTGGGGTCGAACCCTGGGTTCAAAATAAGACCACCGGAGGCTGATTAATTAATTTTTAAAAAAGCAGGCAAGGATTTATTGAACTGGCCAGGACAGCCGCGAGAGCACCACAAGCAGGTGGTCTCCACACGACTGCCCCGTTTCAGGGGTAGGCAATTTCTTTTAAAGGTTTAAACCGCAAGAATTTGCCTTGTGTTCCTAAATCCTAAAGACTAAATTCTAAAGACTGGGGACAGCCCGCAGGGTCAGTTCCCAGTCACATCCTGCTGGACATTGGAATGTGGCCCTATCTTGCGATAGCGATAACACAGAAGCAGAGCTCAGCGGTTAGATTCTAAAGGTTATCTACAGTTTCTATCCCTGAAGCTACCGAGTCAGTGGGAATCATTCTCCTGTGGTCCTGATCCCTGGCAAGGGAAAATTGCCTTAGCCTCCAGGCCTCACCTGGAAGCTGAGGTTAAAGTACCCAGTGTTTTAATCAGGCAGGAGCCAGACTTAGCAGGGATAAAATTCAAACAGCAGTTTTTTACCATAGTATGGTTGCCTCTATATTTCACTCCCCTCTGAGTGACTAAGGGTTGCAATTGGAAGCAAATTATTATAAAATTCCCATCCTTATAATCTGGAAATTTACAATTCTCATTCAATCTGTATAACTAAGACAATTCAGCTGTTAAATTAAATATAAAAAAGGCACGACAAGTAGGCAAGATTCAGTGGTTGCGCTTGGACCTATGAACCAGGAGGTCATGGATTCCAAGTCGGGGCCTGTAGCCAGGTTGCAGGTTTGGTCCCTAGTGACCAGAAGTGCAGGAGGCAGCTACTCGCTGATGTTTCTATCTCTCTTTCTCTCCATGCCTTCTGGCGATAAATAGTGTTATCTTTACCCACGCATGCACGCACGCACACACACACACACGCACAGAAATAAACACACAATGTATCACAACTAAGTCATCCACACCCCATCAGGTCACCACTTACCCAGATCAGGGTTCCACTCCTCCCACTAACTACTATGTGTTTCTGTCTATGGATCTGTCTCTGTCTCCCTGTTCCCTTTCTCTTCACTGTACCCCCTCTCTGCTCCCTGCTCTTTTTCCCCTTTCTCTCTGTCTGTTCCTACACCTGGACCATGAATCTCCTGAAACCTATTTCCCTTCCGGGGCTCTCTCTCCTGGTCTCTCTGCTCCCATCTCCACACACGTCTGCGTCTTTCCCTCCCCGCGCCCGCGTCCCCGCTGCTGCCTGTTACAGCCTTGAAATATAGTGGCAAGCATACTTTGGCAAAAACTGCTGTTTGAATTTTAACCCTTCTAGTTTGACTCCTGCACCTGATTAAACACGGGGGGGGGGAAAAAAAAAAAAGCTATTTACCTTAGCTTTCAGGTGGAGACCTGGAGGCTAAGGCAATTTTCCCTTGCCTGGGTCCAAGACCACAGGAGAGTAATTCCCACTAACTCAGTAACCTTCAGAGATAGAAACTGTAGATAACCTCTGAGCTTTGCTTCTGTGTTATCCACTATCACGAGATAGGGCCACATTCCAATGTCCAGCAGGATGTGACCAGCAGTACCCAGCTGGCTGACACCAGTCTTTAAAATGTAGTCTTTAGGATTTAAAATTTAGAACAAAGGAAAATTCCTGTGGTTTGAACCTTTAAAAGGGACTGCCTATCCCTGAAACGGTGCAGTCGTGTATGAAATAAGAAATTAAGAATATACAACTCATGTAAAAACTGCTATTTGAATTTTTAAAACCTGCTAAGGCAATTTTCCTGTGCCTGGGATCATAACCTTTGGAGATTAACCCCTGAGTTCTGCTTCTGCAAGATAGGGCCACATTCCAATGTCCAGCAGGATGTGACTGGAAATGAGCCTACGGGCTGACCCCAGTTTTTAGCATATAGTCTTTAGGATTTAGAATTTATTTTACATTTATTTAGAATTTATAGAACAAAGGAAAATTCCTGTGGTTTGAACTGTTGCAGAGTTCCCAGGCAGTCGGACGGTGCAGAGGGAGAATTTGGAGAGACTTGCTTTGTTCATCGCGCGATGGGCTTAGGGAGGATGAATTCAAATTCTAAGCAAAGTTATAGGCAGAACTTCCTTTTTTAAAATTTTTATTAAAGAGCCAGCCCTATGTGCACTTAGTGGTTATCTCAATGCTGGCCTTGAAAACAATACAGTTCTATCCAATTGAAAAAGTGCACCTGGCATGGGATTGAGATTGTGGGCATATCTGGTCTCTGCCCTGCAAGGTCAGACAGCTAAGTTTATCTTCATCATTCTTCACACGGGCTAAAGCAAACTAGAAGGCAATATTTTATCTGGGAAGAACAGCAGAAAATTCCAAATAACAGTTTGTTGCAGAATGGGGGTTTTCCTTCTCAGAACCTTTAAAAAGAACTACCTGCCCCTAAAGCGGCGCAGTCTTTTGGAGTCCACCTGCCTGCGGTGCTCTTGCAGCTGCCCCGGCCAGATATTTCAATAAAATTTTCTCTGCTTTCTTAAATTAACTATCAGCCTCCGGTGTCTTATTTTGAACCCAGGGTTCGACCCCACAACACTTCCCACCGCTGGCTGCCTCCGTGCTGCCCCCCCGCTGCTCCCTCATCCTCCGTGGACCCCTCTCCTCCTCCTCCACCGCCGCCGCCCCGTCTGTCTCTCCCTCCCTCTCCTGCCCCCCAGCCCGGCCCCCGCCCCGCAGTCACCGCCCCACAAAGCCCTCCCTGGGGCAGGTCCCTCTTCCGGGGACACCGCGTTCTCCCCGAGCCCAGCCCCTGGCACTGGCCCCCTGGCACTCAGACCTGATTAATGGGGGGCCTGGGAAGGCGGGCGCAGACCCCCAGGCCGGGCCCATCCGGGCTCTTTGGGCGGGAAGCGCCGGGCGGGGGAGGGCAAAGGGCGGGAACCACTGACCAGACCTCCAGCCCCGCGGGGGCACCGGCGGCCCCGGGGACGGTTTTCGGCGGGAAAACCACGCGGCGGGCGGGCCCACAGCCACAGGCGGACAGACCGCGGGCCGGGCCTCAGTTTCCCCCAAAGGAACGCGGCGCCTCCACTGCGCAGCCCCCGGGACGCGCACTCACCGCCGGGAGGGGCTCCGGGCGGGGCTCCCACACGGACTTCAGCGCCCGCAGCGCCCTCAGCCCGCCCTGCGGGGAGGGGCCGGGAGCAGCGGCTTTAAAGCACAGACACCGCCTCTGGGAGCCGCTACCGGCCCCTCCGCAGCCGCTTCCGGCTGCCAGGACTGAGCATGCGCCTCGCTGCGGGGGCGGGGCCTGAGCGGAGCGGCTCCGCGCTGGGGGCGGGGCCAGGCCTGGGCGGGGCCAGAGGGAGGGGGAGGGGCGGGGCCAGCCTGGGCCCCTCCCCTCCTCCCACAGGGACAGCCCTTCCTGGGGGAGTTCCCATCATTGTTGGGGTTTGCCTGGTGGCGCGGCTGTGACAGGATTCACGAGGAGAGAAGAGACAGGAGCAGAGAGGGCGGTGATTTTGCTTCTTTAAAGGGAGGAGAGGGCCCGGTGCCCTCTGATGGCACAAGGCTCCCCACATAGAGGGACTGGTCTTCTATTAGGGTGCCAGCGAGGAAATGGCAGCTGCGGAGAAAACTTAAAGAAGGGAGGAGGCCCTGAATGGTTTGGCTCAGTGGCTAGAGCTTAGGCCTGCAGACTGAAGGGTCCCAGGTTCGTTTCCGGTCAAGGGCATGTGCCTTGGATGCCGGCACATCCGCAGTAGGGGGTGTGCAGGAGGCAGCTGATCAATGATTATCTCTCATCGATGTTTCTAGCTCTCTATTTCTCTCACTGCCTCTCTGTAAAAAATCAATAAAATATATTTTAAAATATATATTATATATTAAAAATTAAAAATAATAAACTTATTAAAATATTAGGTTAAAAATACTTTATATTTTGAACACTCATATTATTTCTCAGAAAACCAGGAGTCCCTCCATTGGAAATAAGCTTTTAGAAATGTCTGTGAAACATATGTACAGATGTGATCAGCTTGATGCAAACTCCACGACCCCAATCTTCAGAATTTCCACATAAAACAAAATAATGAATATTAGGTTGTTTATTTCAAGTTTTAAAATTACTTTGGGTTTAAATGGTGCCAGTAAACATTTGAAAGCTAGATTTCCTATGGTGAGGAGATCACATTGAGAAGGGGTGTCTATTCACACATGGACTAGATCCTGCAAGGAGGCACTGGACTATCAGTAGGTTGGTCAGTAAGGATTGCTTAGGGGCCCCATCTGGATGCCCTGGTAGCTCTCTCTATACAAACCAGGAAATAAAGAAACTTCACAAATGCGCAGGAACCTAAGGAAAAAAACACACAAAACTGATAGAAGGAACACCTTCGCCTGATTTTATGAGGGCATCTAAGGTTACAGCATAGAATTAGGGTGGTTTCTGACTCAAAAATATTACTAATTGTAAACAAAATGGCAAGTTCAGAGATAGAACGAAGGTTAAAAGGGGTTTTAAAGGACATAATCAGTGTTAAAATGTATCATGAATTTAAGTTTTGAACAGTAACCATTTGTTATGCTCTGCATCTCCTTCTTACAAAAAACCTTGGTGTTCAGCTAGACTCTCCCTGAGCAGGTGACTGCTATAAAAATGGTTATAATTTACCCTAATCGGTTTGGCTCAGTGGATAGAGCATCGGCCTGCGGACTTGTGGGTACCAGGTTCCATTCCGGTCAGGGTTATGTACCTTGGTTGTGGGCACTTCCACAGTAGGAGCTGTGCAGGAGGCAGCTGCTCGATGTTTCTCTTTCATCGATATTTCAAACTATCTATCTCCCTTCCTCTCTGTAAAAAATCAATAAAATATATATATATTTTTAAAAATTGTTATAATTTGTCCAAGACATAGAAGTCATATGTGAGCTAAATGTACGGAGCCTGAGATAAAAACATAGGGTTAAATCATCATGACTTAGGATTTTAAAAGAGTTTGAGATATGACACCAACACAAAAACAGAGAAAGGTTAAAGAAATTAACTCATCATCAAAATGTATGCTCTTGCCCTAGCCAATTTGGCTTGATGGATAGAGTGTTAGCCTGTGGACTAAAGGGCAAATGCCCGGATTGTGGGCTTGATCCCCATGAGGGGCATATACAGGAGGCAGGCAATTAATGATTTTCTATCATCATTGATATTTTGATCTTGATCTCTCTCTTCCTCTCTGAAATTTATATATATGTATATATAAATACACACACACAGGTATAGATATATAGATATAGATAGTATGCTCTATGCAGATTGTAGCACTACAGGGAAAATACAGGCTATCCGATGATAAAAAGTGATTGTAAGTCACAAATTATTTTTATTTTTATTTTATTGATTTTTTACAGAGAGGAAAGAAGGATAGAGAATTAGAAACATCCATCAGCTGCCTCCTGCACACACCCCACTGGGCATGTGCCCACAACTGAGGCACATGCCCTTGACCGGAATTGAACCTGGGACCCTTCATTCCACAGGCCGACGCCCTATCCTCTGAGCCAAACCAGTTTCAGCCCAACCCTTCACTTTCATGATTTGTCTTTTAATCTGAAGTGTGTCTTATGTAGATTGCATATGTTAAGGGTCTTATTCAGCTGCCCTGATCTTCTGGTTGAAACAGTGAGTCCATTTATATTGTGAGTGAACATTTACAGGTAAATAGTCATGGGCATTTTAAAAATTAATCAGTACAGTCATTGTAGGGAACTTTAACTTCCAAATCACATCAATGGATAGAATCTGCCAGACAAATACATAAGGAAAAAGTGGTCTTACATGACATAGCAAGAAAGATGAATTTTATATGTTTAAAGCTGTGATTATGGCTGAAACCGGTGTGGCTCAGTGGATAGAGCATCAGCCTGAGGACTGAAAGGTCCCGGGTTCGATTCCGGTCAAGGGCATGTACCTTGGTTGCAGGCACATCCCTGGTGTGGGGTGTGTGGGAGGCAGCTGGTAGATGTCTCTCTCTCATCGATGTTTCTCTCTCTCTCCTCTCCCTTCCTCTCTGTAAAAACTCAATAAAACATACTTAAAAAAATAAAAAATATATATTTAAAAATAAAAATAAATTTAAAAAATAAAATAAAAATAAAGCTGTGATCAGAGTGTCAACGAGGAAAACTACTGTCGTGCATGATTTTTTTTGAAAAAGCAACACTTGACTAATTAGTCAGTAGCAAAGACTGTATAAACCTATAGATTGCCAAAGAAAATAAGTGACAACAGCCAATACAGTAATAGATGTCTGGTGTACATGAATAAAAAACATACTTTTTCATAAGATTGGCAATATATGTGTGTATATATATATATATTATTTTGGTGTACCACTGAATTTCATAATTAGTTCATATTTGCCATGAGATAAAAAAAAAAAAGAAAAGAAATATCTGATTTAGAGCTTTTCACCACAAAGCAGAATATGAATTCTGGAGAAATTCAAGACAGAATGTCCTCTAACCCAAGGGACAGTGTCTGCTTCATGTCTTTTTTAATGGCAACGGGGGGGGGGCGGCGGGGGGCGATCTTATGTGTATTTTGTCCAACACAACTCTTCAAGAGTCCTCACTACAGCACCAGAAAATGGAACTATTGTTTAGATGCCATTGAATTCTATGAATGATCCGGATCCCATAGTCTGTCCTGTAACAGAACAAATTCATAAAGCCCGTGTTCCAGATCAGTCTCAGTTACAAGATATCAGCACATACATATACATATGAATGCTCCAGAGGTATGTCGGAAAGTAGAATATTGAACATCTTGCTCTGTAATGATTTGGTCATTCCTTTGGGTGGCATGTGCATAGGAACTGATGTTTACCACCTCGTACAAATTCAGCCCTGGACACTGAAGAATAAATGTTCAGCTTCCTCATTTTAATCTCTGCTTACCTGCTGTCCCTGGAACTTGCACTGATGGCTTGGCAAACACTCCAGAAACAACTAATGCCACTGGACATACCTATGCTCAGGTTGTGAATATACAAAAGAATTTTGCATCCAAAATAATTAAAGGTTTTAACTGCAAAGCTGCCATGGTTCTGGGGTTCCTCTAGAAAGAATGACCAACATTAGGCTACATTCAAGAAAGTGAGAATAGATTCCCTCACATCATTGATATTTCTCTCTTCCTCTCTGGGGTATGGCTAACAGATGTTTTTCTCTCCTTCTACTTTCCTCTCTAAAATCAATAAAAATATATATTAAAATAGTGAGAATAAAACCTGTTTAACATGGCTTAATTCCATCCCAATAAAGAAGTTAATGAGAAATTAAGTTTTCCAATGAAAATCAGTACAAGAAAAATCACTCCAATTACAAAGTACACAGATGCTTATTTGTGGTATTCCAAAACTTCATATTCATATTAAAAACTATAGGTGTCAGCATGAACCCACATGGTGGCCTACATACTTGATGAAAATAAACAAAAATTTTCACCAAATTCTGATGTCAGTCATTGAATTATGAATTCCAAACTACTGAGTGGAAGTTACAAGGGCTTGAAAGGATGATGTGGGACAGGAAGATCTTTACATGCTGTAGTCATAGCACTGCAAAAAGAATGGCAGTTTCTGGTCAGTTTAGCTCAGCGCATGGAGCATCGGCCTGCGGACTGAAGGGTCTCAGGTTCGATTCTGGTCAAGGGCACATGCCTTGGTTGCAGGCACCATCCACAGTAGGGGGGTTGCAGGAAGCAGCCAATCAGTGATGCCCTGTCATCACGGATATTTCTATTTCTCCTCCTCTCTCAAATCAATAAAGATATATATATATTGATATATATATAGAATGTCAGTCTAGAAGATAAAGTGAAAAACCAGAGGACCAGGAAATGGAAAATGAAAGAAATAGAATTAATTTTTCTGAGTTCACTCAGCAATATAACCTGGGAACGGTGTCCTCTCTCCACATGCAGAGTTCATGCCAATTCTGCATCCTGGTTATTGCAATGTCACTGGTATTGCAATATTCCTCTTAACTATGGAAAATCTATTACACAGACAGCACTGTTCTGAGTGTAGTTCTGATCACCTAAATGTGACAACCACAAACTGACATATCCTCAAAAAGTTTTCAGCTGAACACATTGGCACAGAAAAGGAAGTAACTTTGATGATATCATTTACAAAAGTTGAGAACTATTTTTATTTTATTTTCTTTTTTAAAATATATTTTATTGATTTTACACAGAGAGGAATTGAGATGGACAGAGAGTTAGAAACGTCGATGAAAGAGAAACATCGACCAGCTGCCTCTTGCACACCCCCTGCTGGGGATGTGCCCACAACCAAGGTACATGCCCTTGACCGGAATCGAACCCGGGACCTTTCAGTCCGCAGGCTCTATACACTGAGCAAAACCGGTCCCGGCGAGAACTATTTTTAAAAATTAATTTAATAGGCTTATTACCTAATAGAAGAAAATAATGTGCCTTACAATATAGACCATATTCCATGGGAAATTCTACACAAGTGAAGTCCATATTGTATACAACAGCTCACAAATCTCTAAGACTGAAACAATCAGTTTACTCACACACACACCAGGAATAAAACATAGCAGCATCAAATGACATGGAATTACAATCACATTAATATTTCCTTTTCAAAAGACTTCGAGTGATATCAATATGAGATAACACTAAATAACTGTATATATGGAAACATCAATTCTTTTTGTATTTTCAAACAAATATTACCTAACTACATTTAACGTATGGAGTACACTCTATAATGCTTTTTGACTTATAGAGCAATACCTGAAAGGCATTTGGCTACCTATCTAGTGTGAATTCAGTGATTCTTTGAAATTCATAATTACATACTTGGATCATGTTTTTACATCTTTAAAGTCACTATAAGGCATAAACTCCTTGAAGTTTTGTAAACTGTATATTTTGAACAAAAGTCTCTCTTTCTATATCATGAATGTAGAACTTCAACCCAATTATAATCCCTCATATGATTGGGGCTGTGGGTCCAACTATATGATTTCCCACATTCTTCAGATTTAAGGTTTCCCTTTAGAATAAATTCCAATGTGAGGAATAAGACACAGATGCTGATTATAGACTTTAGAACAATGTTTATATTTCTACTACAGGTCTGATGCACGAAGATTCATGCAAGAATGGGCCCTCCTCCTCTGGCTGCTGGTGCCACCTTTCCATGCTGCCCAGAGGCCCGGAGCTACAGTGTATGCAAATTATCCAGCCATCTTTGTTGTGTTAATTTGCATACACACTCCTCTTTGGCTGGTGGAGCAGGGTTCACGAAAGTATGGTAAATTAGCATCTAATTCTTTTATTACTGTAGATTGTTTCTTTCCAGTATGAATTCTGATGTCAGATGAGGTTTGCATACTGAGTAAGCTTTGTCACATTCTTTATATCTGTGGGACTTTGATCCAGTAATAATTACCACTTGTGGTATTAGATATAAATGAGGATATACAATTGACATATGCCTCTTAATTGTAAGACCTCATTTTATCATTTTCAATGAACTTTCAACCATGAACAAATCTGTGCAGTTTCATTGGAAAGATTCCTAAAATGGTAAGATTCCCTGCAGCTTAACAACTTTCTCACATTTTCTACAGTGTAAGGTTTCCCTGCACCTTTAAAATCTTTGATGTGCAGTAAATTTTGAGTTGTGTATAACGGCTCCAACACATTCTCTACATTTCTACTATCTCTGTTATGAAATCTCTCAGGTACAGTCCTATGTGAATGGCTTTTAAAAGCAATTTTAGATTTTTTACATTCATAAGGCTTCTTTCAAGTATGAATTCTGTGATGTTCAGTAAGTTCTCATGGCTGATCAAGGACTTATGAACTATGCACATATGTAAGACTTCTCTCAAGTATAGTGCAGGAGGCACACTGAATAAAATCTTTGTTACACTTTTCACATGTTCTAAGGCTGCTCTCCGATATGAACTCTCTGATGCATAATAAGGTCTGAGGATCTAACAAAGGATTTGACACATTCTCTACATTGATAAGGCTTTTCTCTGGTATGAACTCTCTGATGATAAGTAAGGGATGAGGAGGTAGCAAGGGCTTTGCCACATTCTTTACATATATAAGGCTTCTCTCCTGTATGAAATATCTGATGTGCAATGAAGTGTGAGGACCTGCTAAAGGCTTTCCCACATTCTCTACATTTATATGGTTTCTCTCCAGTGTGAATTTTCTGATGATCAGTAAGAGATGAGAAGTGGCTAAAGGCTTTGCCACATTCTCTACATATATAAGGCTTCTCTCCAGTATGAACTCTCTGATGTCGCCTAAGCTTTGTGGACTCACTGAAAGCTTTGCCACATTCTCTACATTTATAAGGCTTCTCTCCTGTGTGAACTCTGTGATGACTAGTAAGGGATGAGGAGGTAGCAAAAGATTTGCCACATTCTCTACATTTATAAGGCTTCTCTCCTGTGTGAATTCTCTGATGATAAATAAGAGATGAGGAGGTAGCAAGGGCTTTCCCACATTTGCTACATTTATAAGGCTTCTCTCCTGTGTGAATTCTTTGATGTGTAACAAAGTTTGAGGACCTGCTAAAGGCTTTTCCACATTCTCTACATTTATAAGGCTTCTCTCCTGTGTGAACTCTCTGATGATAAGAAAGTGATGAGGAATGCCTGAAGGCTTTGCCACATTCTCTACATGTATAAGGCTTCTCTCCAGAATGAACTCTCTGATGTGTAATAAGGTTAGAGAGCTGGCTAAAAACTTTGCCACATTCTCTACATGTAAAAGGCTTCTCTCCAGTATGAACTCTCTGATGTTGATTAAGTGTTGAGGATTCACTGAACATTTTGCCACATTCTCTACATCCATAAGGCTTCTCTCCAGTATGAATTCTCAGATGAATACTAAGGGTTGAGGGCCAAGTAAAGGCTTTGTCACATTCTGAACATTTATAAGACTTTTCTCCCGTACGTTTTCTATGTTGTTGAGTATGTCTAGGGGATTGACTCAAGCCTTTTCCATTTTCTCTGAGTTTAAAAAATTTTGCAATAGTATGAATTCTTCCCTTATGTACAATAAGAGATGAATGACATTTAAAGGCTTTGCCACATGCTTTACATTTGTAAGGCTTCTCTCCAGGATGAATTCTCTGGTTTAAAGTGCAACCTGAAGGCCAAATAGAATCTTTACATTGATAAGGTTTTCCCCCCTTATCGATTCTTTTGCATCTATTTAGTTTGAATATTTGACTGAACACTCTCCCACATGGATTCCATTTGTAAGCCTCCTCCCGAGTATGAATATTCTCCTTTTCATTATAATTTGATGATTGCTGTAAAGACTGGACACATTGACTTCCTTTGTGTGTCTTCTCCACAATAGGAATCATCTGATGTATGTTGTGATTGAACATTTGATTAAAGACTTTTCCACTTTTACAATGGTCCTCTGCACGCTCACTTGTCCAATGATTAAGATATGTCTCTTGATTAAAGTTTTTCCAATGTTCAATCCATTGATAACTGCTATCTCCTTTATGTGTACTCTGGTGATAACGGAAGACAGAAAGATCTTTAGTGACAGTTATAATTTCATTAGCTTGTTCCATTAGAACCATTTTGTGATACTCATTAAACCAAGATGATTGTATAGAAAAAGCTTACCTAATTTATTAAAATTGTAGACAATAAATAGAAAACATTGTCAGAGGGAGAATAAATTAATCCTTGTTTAAAAGATTACCAAATTGCCCTCGCTGGTGTGGCTCAATGTATGGAGCGTTAGACTCTGGAATGAAGGGTCCTGGGTTCAATTCCAGTCAAGGGCACAAGCATGGGTTGCAGGAAGCAGCTTATCAATGATTCTCTCTTATAACTGATGGTTCTCTCTATCCCTTTTTCCCTCCCTTCCCTCTGAAATTAATAAAATATATTTTAAGATATTAATAAAAAAGAATAAGAGATTAACAAATTGCCCTGCATGCATGGTTCAGTGGTTGAGCTTTAACACATGAACAAGGAGATCACGATTCCATTCCCAATAAGGGCATATAGCCCGGCTGCTGGATCAGCTCCCAGGGGGAGGCATGCAGGAGGCCACCAATTAATGATTTTCTCTCATCATTGATGTTTTCCTCTCTCTCTTCAACTTCCTTACTTTCTGAAATCTAGAAAAATATATTTTTAGTTAAAAAACCATAACTAATTGACAAATTAACCACATTATAATTTTATAGGTACATTATAAATCTATATATTTTAGAATAATTGACCAAAGTTAAATCCCACCCCAACTTTTAAACACTTCAAACGATTATTTACACTACAGACTATGCAAATTCCTAGTTTTTCCAGATTTCCTTTCCAAGAATGCATAACAGAAAAATTTGTTTTCAACCTTAATGTGCACAAACATTCTGATCTGCCAATGAAACTGACTTTTAATTTGGAGGTTTCCCAAATACATCTGATATCTTTAGGTAAAGATAAATTTATTATGATAACTGTCCCAGAATAGTTTTTGTTTATATTCATATCCTCCTTTCTCATCACACTCTTCCTCAAATTCCAAGGCTTTCATTAAGTGTACATTATCAAAGTAACACCTTTTATATCTTACCAGTATTTCAGGGGATAAATCTTGTATTCTAGGCGTTGGCATAAAAGCCTCTTTATCTTTAGATGGTTTAGCTGAAAGAAAAACAAATTTTCAGTTTTGACAATCAGGTGAGTATATTCTGAACTTACTACCAACTATTAACCAAATGACATTTTGGAGTACTCCATGAGCAAGTGAACAATTCAGAGAAAGCTCCAGATAGATACAATGAGAAAAACTGACATCGAAGAAGGAGAAAGAGTTGCTTACATTTGCTAATAACCGCTCAAACGCCCTAGCACACAATGGCAATATTATTAAATCGCTCCCAATTCCCAGTTTCAGAGAGAGAGAGAGACAGAGAGAGAGAGAGAGAGAGATATGGAGACATGATGGAAGTGCATTTGTGCATCTTCTATTGTATTTGTGGTATTCTATTAGAGAAACACGTATCACTTTGATTTCTCTTGTGGAACTTTAGAAAATAAAAAGAATAGTCTGACAGGCATGGCTCAGTGGATAAGGATTTACCTATGAACCAGGTGGTCACAGTTGATTACCGATTAGGGCACAATCCTGTGTTTTGGGTCCTTTCCCCAGTGTGTGTGTGTGTGTGTGTGTGTGTGTGTGTGTGTGTATTGGGGGGAATCAATGATTCTCTCTCATCATGGATGTTTCCATCTCTCTCTCCTCATCACTTTCTCTGAAATAAAAATTTCGAAAAATATTTAAAAAATATATAAAAGAAATAAAATCTTAAATCTCTGCTTGGACACAACATTAAAGATGTGATATCCACTTATGTGGTTACATGGTAAAAATGGTAATCCATAGATTTTTTTTTGTATGCAACTGACACTATGAAGTTAAGGTACATTGTTATAACCTTAAGATATTTTAGGGAGTTCCCATGGTCAGAAATAAAATAGAAAATAAATAAAATGATATCTACTAAGAGGTGACAGAATTCTGTATTACAAACCACAACCTCTACATTTCTAAAAATATACATATAGGTAAATAATTAATTTCTCAAAATATACTATGTAAAACCACCCAATGAATTTACCTATTTTCCTATAAGGTAACAAATGTAAATACAAAATAACAAATTAAGGGTGTATTTACATGAAAAACAGCATAATTGAAAATGAAATATTAACAGTTTACATCCTAAGAAGGTGCATGACTTGCATGCTGTAAAGCATAAAATATTACTGGCTGCCCTCTGCAGTGTGTCTCAGTGGTTAGAGTATGGAGCCACCCAAGAAATGGTTGCAGGTTGGATCTGAACCCCATTTGGGATGTATGAGCAAGCCAACCATAAAACATCTCTCTCTCACATCCATATTTCTCTCTTTTTCAACCCCTCCCTCCCTTCCTTCTACTCAAAAACTCAATGGGAATATATCATCCAATGAGCAGTGACAAAAGGAAACACATACACACACACACACACACACACACACACACACACACACATTCTCTGCAGGCTCTAATTAAAGAAGAAATCAGTAAGTTGGAAAACACATTCCATGATCCTACTCTGAAATACTAACAGTATCAGCTGTCATTAGTACTCAAAGTGAGCTAAACATTCAAAGCAATCCCTATCAAAGTCCCAGTAACACACTTGCTGGAAATAGAAAAGCTCCTTATAAAGTTAATGTGAATGTCACAGAACTACATGTAATGAAGTAAATCGTGAAAAGAATGTATGAAATTAAAGGTTTCAGGCTTCCGGATATTAAAACATACTTCAGCCAAAACCGGTTTGGCTGAGTGGATAGAGCATTGGCCTGCGAAAAATCAATAAAATATATATTTTTTTAAATTAAAAAAAAAAAGAAATATATACACACACACACACACACACACACGATCATAGAAAATCAGTGTAACAAGATCTTGCACGTCTTTTGTCATTAAGGAAATGCACATTATACCAATGAGAAGTAACAAACAGCAAAGCAAGAAACACTATATCACCATTGAACAGGTCAGAATCCAGAACACTGACCCCACCAAATGCTTTTGTGATGTGGAGCAACCGGAACCCCCAGTAACAGCTGTTGAAAATGCCAAATGCTACAGCACCAAGGGGAGATGCTGTGGAGGTTTTTATGAAACTAAATATATACTCAGTAATTGGGCTCCTGACTCTTAATGCAGCAAGTTAAGCCTTTTATCTACAGAACAGCCTACAAGGAGGCTGTTTATTCATAATTTCCAAAAATCGGAAGCAAGGAAAAGGTCAACAAGTGAATGGATAAATAAACTGAAGAACAAAAAAATCTATTACTACTAGACAGAAATAATACAGAAAGTCATGAAAATTCATTATAGAAGCTTAGATACATAGAAGAAAGTGAAAGAGCCCTAACTGGTTTGGCTCAGTGGATAGAGCATCAGCCTGTGAACTCAAGGGTCCCACGTTCGATTACGGCTGAGGGCATGTACCTTGGTTGCAGGCACATACCCAGTAGTGAGTGTGCAGGAGGCAGGTGATAGATGTTTTTCTCTCTTTAAAAAAAAAATCAATAATATATATATATTTTTTAAAATAAAAAGAAGTGAAAGAATCCAATCTGCCCAGGTGGCCCACTTGCTTAGAGGTCTGTACAAATATAACAAAGTTGTAGGTTTGATCTCTGGTCAGGGCACATACAAAAATTTAACTATTGACCAGTTGAAATTTCTATCCCTCTCTAATTCTCCCTTCCTCCCTAAATTCAATAAAATCTTAAAAAATATATAAAAATAAAAGTAAATGGAGTGTGAATTTTGACTGAGAATTTCCAAATTGCAATCCAGGATGTTCTATGGCCACAAATTATGGTAGAATATTACAATATTCTAGAAAATGACCTTCTAAAATATTATTTTCTGATAGTACCTTAATTAGTGTAGACAACTTGTAAAGTGTGCAAACACTGAGTGCCCAATTCACATACATCACAAAGCATTTCTTTTCTACCCCCAATTTGTTCCTCTTTTCAAACTGTATATTTTCATTGCTTTCAGACAAGAAGGGAGAAGGAGCAAGAGATAGAAACATCAATGATGAGAATCACTGATTAGTTGGTTCCCTCCTGCACACACCCTATTGGAGAGGGAGTCAGTAACCAAGGAATTGGCCCTTGATCAGAATGGACCTGGGATCTTTCAGCCTGCAGGCTGGCACTAGATCCACTGAGCCCAACCAGCTAGGGCCCAACAAGTCATCCTCACCTAAGGAGACCAGGTTTCTGTAGTTCTCAGACATCACATCCAGGTACAACTTCCGCTGAGCTGGGTCCAGGCATTCCCACTCTTCTTGAGAAAAATCTATGGCCACATCCCTGAAAGTCAATTGACCCTGAAAGAAAAGACACACGAGCAGAGTTCATAACGTCACCCAACATGCAAACAGTGTTAAGAGAAGAGGTTTGGACCTAGCAGAGTATCCTAAATTATCCAGTAAGAATACTTTTTTTATTTTTTAATAATTTTGCTTTTTAATTAATTAATTTATTTTTAAATGGCCCAGTATCATTTTTTTTTATTTTTTATTTTTACTAAAAGCTTATTTTTTAAAATATATTTTATTGATTTTGTACAGAGAGGAAGGGAGAGAGATAGAGAGTTAGAAACATCGATGAGAGAGAGTCATCGATCAGCTGCCTCTTGCACACCCCCTACTGGGGATGTGCCTGCAACCAAGGTACATGCCCTTGACCGGAATCGAACCTGGGATCTTTCAGTCCCCAAGCCGATGCTCTATCCATTGAGCCAAACTGGTCTTGGCTAAAAGCTTCTTTTTTTTTAAATTAAATTATTATCTGTGTACATATTTTACCATTGGCCCCCCCCCATACATACCCACCCTCTCTAGAATTTTGTGTCCATTGGTTGTACTTATATGCAAGTAGACAAGTCTTTCGGTCGATCTCTTATCTCCCCCAGATCTCTCTACCCTCCCCGCTGTAATTTGACAGTCTGCTTGTTGCTTTACTGTCTCTATATCTTTCTTTTGGTTCATCAGTTTATAATGTTATTATTCATAAATGAGTGAGGTCATGTGGTGTTTCTCTTTCATTGACTGGCTTATTTCACTCAGCAGCATGATGTTCTCCAATTCCATCCAGGTTGCTGCAAACGATGAGAATTCCTTCTTTTTTATGGCAGCATAATATTCATTGTGTGGATATAGCATAGTTTTTTGATCCATTCATCAGCTGATGGGCACCTAGGCTGTTTCCAAATCCTAGCTATTGTAGATTGTGCTGCTATGAACATAGGGGTGCATATATCCTTTCCGATTGGTGTTTCTAGTTACTTGGGATATATTCCTAGGAGTGGGATTACTGGGTCAAATGGGAGTTCCATTTTCAGTTTGTTGAGGATACTCCATACTGTTCTCCACAGTGGTTGTACCAGTCTGCATTCCCACCAGCAGTGCACGAGGGTTCCTTTTTATCCGCAACCTCGCCAACACTTGTCGTTTGTTGATTTGTTGATGTTGGCAATTCTGACAGGTCAGTAAGAATACTTTGCTCCAGTAACAATCTCTGTGTTTTGTGACATATGAGGATGACCCAGGTCCACAAACCCACAGTACAGATTTTACTTTACAGGAAAATAAACTTTAAAATTAAGGCATGGCCCTTGTTGGTCAGGCTCAGCAGACAGAGTGGCGGACTGCAGACTGAAGAGTCACGGGTTTGATTCTGATCAAGGGCACATGCCAAGGGTTGTGGGCTGGATGCCCAGTAGGGGTTGTGAAGGAGGCAGCCCATCAAGGATACTCTCATCATTTTTTTCTTTCTCTCGCTCCCTGCCTCTCTGAAATCAATAAGAATATATTAAAAAAATAAATACATTAAAAAACATTAAAGGCATGGAAACAGCCATATGGATTTCAGAGTGCTGCATTTGCCTTGTTTAGAGTCAGTGGTATATATTTCCCAGTTGGCATTGTCATGCTGCGTTGAAAGTATATGGTCTTTGTCGCGCGTGTAAAGCAGACCACAACAAAATGAGTTTTTGTAAACCTACTGATCCAGGTTCTGACTGACATGGGGCTTGTGTTTTCACATGTGTAACAAGTTCACATTTTACTTGTGATGCCAATGTTTCTGCATCATGCGCCACACTTCTGATCACAGAGAAAAAGAAAACACAAGGAACAATTCACACAGAACTTTGAATTAAAAGGGTTTGCTAATGGAATACAGGTCTCATGGAGTAGGACACATAGGAACCACAATTCTAGTTGGAAATTTACTATGAGCAATCTTAGAACAAGATTCTTCTGCCTTGTCCACCTAGTTTGGCTCAGTGGTTGAACATGACCCATGTACTAAGAAGTCACTGATTCAATTCTTGGTGTAAGCACACAACCAAGTTGTGGGCTCAATCCCCAGTGTGGGGTGTGCAAGGGGCAGCCGATCAATGATTCTCTCTCATCAATGACGTTTCTATCTATCTCTACCTCTCCCTTCCTCTCTGAAATCTATAAAAATATACTTGGGGGGAAAAAGTTGAAATATTAACAGTTTAAGCAGAGACGCACATTTTACAACTATGAAATCAACATGGTTTAGTGATTTTCTAAATCTCATGAATCTATTTGTGTATATTCCCCTTTGTGTTTTATAAACACAATAAGCAGAGAAACATAAGGATAGAAAACAAGTTAAACCTGCTTCCTTTTTGTGATTGTAAATCCGTACCTGGAGAGATTTTTTCCCATAGACTTTTCAAGAGCAGAAGGCAGGGAGGTAGAGGCACAATGGGAAAAAGGGAGGGAGGGAGGGAAGAAGGAAGAATAGAGACAGAGATAGGTGAAACAGACACAGAGACACATGGATTGGCTGCCTACCACAGGTTCCCAGGAGCTACTTGCCCTAGACCAGGAATCAAACCCTGCACTACTGATCCATACTAGCCTATGAGAACTAATTTTCTTATGCGTACATTTCTTTCAAAATTTTTATGTATCATTAGTGGAGAACTATGTTGTACAAATTTAATGAAACTGAAGATATATTAATAATGTCATTCTTAGAAACTTCTTAGAATCGAAACAGGTTTGGCTCAGCAGACAGAACGTTGGCCTGCGGAGTAAAAGGTCCTAGGTTCAATTCCAATCAAGGGCATGTACCTTGGTTGCAGCACATCCCCTACAGTAGGGGATGTGCAAGAAGCAGCTAATCGATGATTCTCTCTCATTGATGTTTCTTTTTCTTTTTTTAAAATATATTTTATTGATTTTTTACAGAGAGGAAGAGAGAGGGATAGAGGGTTAGAAATATCGATGAGAGAGAATCATTGATCAGCTGCCTCTTGTACACCCCCTACAGGGGATGTGCCTGCAACCATGGTTCATGCCCTTGACTGGAATCGAACCTTGGCCCTTTCAGTCTGCAGGCCGACCCTCTATGCACTGAGCCAAACCGGTTTCAGCTCATCGATATTTCTAACTCTATCCGTCTCTCTTTCTTTGTAAAAAATCAATAAAATATATTTGAAAAAAAAGAAAAAAAGAAACTTCCTAGAGAATACAAAAAGTGATCATGCATAATCATGCAGGCTATGTCCATGATGGGAGCATAGAGTATTAAGTAAAATGTAAAGAATCAAGGCCTAATTAGTTAGAGGTCCCATGCAAAAGCCAATGATCTGTAGGAAATAAAAGTAAGTCCTTCATTTTCCAAAGGAAATACAAAATAAGAAGAGGGACATTTATAGATGGGAAGTGATGGTCTTTGCAAATTTTTCATTAAATCGCTACTACACCCTTATTGCTGAGAAAGGGAGACTATTAATTCTACAGTGACGAGAGCTCTTCTGACAAGTGAACACCAGGCGAGCTGAGAAAATGGGCATTATATAACTGAAGCACAACAGAAAGTCAGGTCCTCACTGCCGTGATATTTTATTTATTTATTTATTTAAAAAAATATTTTATTGATTTTTTACAGAGAGGAAGTGAGAGGGATAGAAAGTTAGAAACATCTATGAGAGAGAATCATCGATCAGCTGCCTCCTGCACATTCACTGGGGATATGCCCACAACCAAGGTACGTGCCCTTCACCGGAATTGAACCTGGGACCTTTCAGTCTGCAGGCCACCGCACTATCCACTGAGCCAAACCAGTTTCAGCCACTGCTGTGATATTACTGCCAAAAGTATATCAATAAATAATTATGTGAAATTACAAATAAACATTAATTTTTGAAAGTGTCAATCCTACTTTACCTCTCATGTTCCTTAAACTAATAGTACAGTTACCTACGAAGGCTTTTGTACTAATCTAATGAATAAATTTCTTCTATTTGCCCCTATTTTCAGAGCTTTCTGAGCTATTCTGAGCAGTAAGATGTGATCTAGAGCTGCTGAATGCTGTAGCCACTTAAACATAAAACTTTCATTTGGTTTCTTCAGTGATACCTGAGCCTCTGATCCCATCCCAGTAGTGATGTTCGACATGGCTGTCTTCCAAGTTTGATTTGTCACAAAAGGAATGTTTTGAGTAATTAAAAGTCACTAATTAAAGGTAGAAATGCTTCCTGACCTGGGGAGGGTGGCAAAATGAATGCAGACAAGGATTTGGGACAAAAGAGGAAAATACAACTTGGCCAGAGAAGCTGAGAGGTAGAGGGCTGACCTATTAACCAGGAGGGCAGGCTTAGATTCCTGGTCAGGGCACATGCCAAGTATCAGGCTCCATACCCAGTGCGGGGTGGGGTACAGGAGACAGCTGACCCATAATTCTCTATCTCTCTCTCCCTGTCCTTTCCATGCTGAAATTAATAAAAATATATTTGAATGGAGATAAAAAAGATAAAACACACACAGAAACACAGAAACAGCTGACATTGACTATGATAAATAAAGTGATGAATTCGGAAAGAAAAACAACCTGCAAAGGAAAGAACATCGGAAATAGAGAAATGAATCACCAGATGGTAAAGGAAAAGCAAACACAGCCTCTGACATAGGACATCTTTTACCTGAGAAGCAGCCATTTGGTCCTGGTCCTGATGGGGTCTGGGTTGTTTCCTCAGGTGACACTGTGTTGAGGAGTCACAGAATGTGCCTTCAAAGAAGTCAGAACAGTCTCTTAATCAACCCACCTCATACTCACAGTCAGAAACCAGAAAAAGGCCACCCCTCCTGTCCTTGGACACAGGAAAGTTAGCAACAATAAGCTCCTAAATGGAGACCCCTCTGTGAGGTGTTTTATTTCATCTTTATATGTCTCTCCTCCCAAAGACAACAGAAAAGAGGTGACTGGAACAAACCCGGGGAAAAAACCCTGCTCCCCCCTCTCACAAAGATAACCTTCAGCCCTCCTGCTAATTCCAGTCCTCAGCTTCCAAGCACCTAGAGCAATTCAGTAACCAAGGATACCCCACCTAGAGCAGCTTCCCAACCCTACTGGGGAAAGCACACCTGAGGGCATTTCTTCATTTATCTCAGGATGTTTTTAAATAATAAATTAAGTGTCAGAGATAGAAAAAGTAAATCCAGGGAAGTAACACACACAACCCACAAAGCACCACACACACCACAGCAACAAAACTAAGGCTTCTAATGTTCCTTGGAAATGCATCAAATGGTGACAGACACAGATACCTCCTCCTTGCCATCCCAGGAAATGAAAAGGGACCCATGAGCAACGGAGAAGTCTCTCCCCTTTGAGTGACTAAGGGTTGCAATTGGAAGCAAATTATTATAAAACTCCCATCCTTATAAATGGAAATTTATAATTCTCATTCAATCTGTATAACTAAGACAATTCAGCTGTTAAATTAAATATAAAAAGACACAACTCGTAGGCAAGCTTCAGTGGTTGCGCTTGGACCTATAAACCAGGTCATGGATTCCAAGTCAGGGCCTGTGGCCAGGTTGCAGGTTTGGTCCCTAGTGACCGGAAGTGCGGGAGGCAGCTGATCAATGATTGATTCTATGTCTCATCCTCCCCATGCCTCCTGGAGAAAAATAGTGTTATCTTTATACGAAGAAATAAACACACGATGTATCACAACTAAGTCATCCACACCCCATCAGGTCACCACTTACCCACATCAGGGTTCCCCTCCTCCCACTAACTACTATGTATTTCTGTCCATGGATCTCTCTCTGTCTCCCTGTCCCCTTTCTCTTCACTGTACCCCCTCTCTGCTCCCTGCTCTTTTCCCCCTTTTCTCTCTGTCTGTCCCTACACCTGGACCATGAACCTCCTGAAGCCCATTTCCCTCCGGGGCTCTCTCTCCCGGTCTCTCTGCTCCCATCTCCACACACGTCCGCGTCTTTCCCTCCCCGCGCCCGTGTCCCCCCTGCTGCCTGTTAGTCTGTACTGCCCCCCACAGCTGGCTGCCTCCGTGCTGCTCCCCCTCGGCTTCCCCATCTTCTGGGGACCCCTCTCCGCCCTCCTCCTCCCCCGGGTCTGTCTCTCCCTCCCTCTCCTGCCCCCCAGCCCGGCCCCCGCCCCGCAGGCACCGCCCCACAAAGCCCTCCCTGGGGCAGGTCCCTCTTCCGGGGACACCGCGTTCTCCCCGAGCCCACCCCCTGGCACTGGCCCCCTGGCACTCAGACCTGATTAATGGGGGGCCTGGGAAGGCGGGCGCAGACCCCCAGGCCGGGCCATCCGGGCTCTTTGGGCGGGAAGCGCCGGGCGGGGGAGGGCAAAGGGCGGGAACCACTGACCAGACCCCCAGCCCCGCGGGGGCACCGGCGGCCCCGGGGACGGTTTTCGGCGGGAAAACCACGCGGCGGGCGGGCCCACAGCCAGAGGCAGACAGACCGCGGGTCGGGCCTCAGTTTCCCCCAAAGGAACGCGGCGCCTACGCTGCGCAGCCCCCGGGACGCGCACTCACCGCCGGGAGGGGCTCCCACACGGACTTCAGCGCCTGCAGCGCCCTCAGCCCGCCCTGCGGGGAGGGGCCGGGAGCAGCGGCTTTAAAGCACAGACACCGCCTCAGGGAGCCGCCACCGGCCCCTCCGCAACCGCTTCCGGTTGCCAGGACTGCGCATGCGCCTCCCTGCGTGGGGCGGGGCCTGAGCGGAGCGGCTCCGCGGTGGGGGCGGGGCCAGGCCTGTGTGAGAACAGGAAGGGAGGGCGGGGCCGGAGCCTGAGCTAAGCAACTCCTCAAATAAATCAATAAGGAAAAAATGGTCTTGGGGAGGGGGGAATGGTAAGATATGTACAGATAATAATGTAATAAATAAAAAATAAATAAAATTAAAGAATTAAAATTAAAGAAAAAGGAAAAAGTGGTCTTAAATGACGCATTAGGTAAGATGGATTTTATAAGTTTACAGCTGTGATTTTCAACCAGGTTGTCACACAGGCAAACTGGTATGCTGCAAGAATTTTTAAAACAGTCGACTTTCCTGTAGTTCTGGGTAATGTCAATTTTATATTTTAGATGTATTTTATTGAAATTGTTGTGTTTGGCTGTGGCTTGATGATTACCTGTGCAGCCATCTTGGACTCTCCCCATAGTATGTCTTATAACAAATTCAAAAAGCCCCTGGTCCAGATCAGTCCCAGTCACAAAACACCAGTAGATACATATACATAAGAATGCTCCATGAGTATGTCAGAGAGTAGAACATCTTGTTTCTCTAATGGGCTTGTCAGTCCTTAGGGTGGAAAAATGCATAAAGTTTGGAGTGCACTGTGTAATAAACCTTCTGATTTAGAGCAGTACCTGAGAATGTACTGATGTTCACCACCTTGTACAAACTCAGCACTGGACACCAGAGAATAAATGTGGGGCTTTCATTTCAATCTCTGTTTACCTGCTGTTCCTGGAACTTAGTGATGGCTTGGTAAACACTGCAGGGACAGCTAATGCCAATGGACATACCTCTCTGGTCAGGCTGTGAATATACAAAATACCTTTGCATCCAAAACCTTTTTTTTTTTTTAATATATTTTATTGATTTTTTACAGAGAGGAAGGGAGAGGGATAAAGAGCTAGAAACGTCGATCAGAGAGAAACATCGACCAGCTGCCTCTTGCACACCCCCTACCGGGGATGTGCCCACAACCAAGGTACATGCCCTTGACCGGAATCGAACCTGGGACCTTTCAGTCTGCAGACCAACGCTCTACCACTGAGCCAAACAGGTTTCGGCTGCATCCAAATCTTAAAAGGTTTCAACTGCAAAGCTGCCGTGATGCCTGGGGTTCCTCTAGAAACAATGACCAACATTAGGCTTCATTCAAGAAAGAATAGATTGTCACTCATCATTGATGTTTCCATCTCTCTCCCTCTCCCTTCTTCTCTAAAATCAATAAAAATACATAAAAAAGTGAGATTAGCCCTAACTGGTTTGGCTCAGTGGTAGAGCGTCGGCCTGTGAACTGAAAGTGCCCAGGTTCGATTCTGGTCAAGGGCATGTACCTTGGTTGCTGGCACATCCCCAGTAGGGGGTGTGCAGGTGGCAGCTGGTCGATGTTTCTCTCTCATCGAGTTTCTAGCTCTCTATCCCTCTCCCTTCATCTCTGTAAAAAAAACAATAAAATATTTATTTTAAAAAGTAAATTAATTAAAAAAAAATAAAAATAAAAAAGTGAGAATAAAACCTGTTTAACAAGGGTTAATTCCATCCCAATAAAGAAGTTAACGGGATAGCAATGATAAATTATTGTTTCCAATGAAAATCAGGACAAGAGGAATCATTCCAATTACTGAGATGCCAATTTGTGGTATTCCAGAACTTCATGTTCATATTAAAAACTATAGGTGTCCGCATGAAAATCCACATGGTGGTCGACCTCCTTCATGAAAATAAAGCAAAATATCTGCCAAATTCTGGGGTCAGTCATTGCATTATAAATTTGAAACTACTAAGTGGAAGTTACATGGGTTTGAAAGGCTGATGTGGGACAGGAAGAGCTCCACATGCTGAGGTCATAGCACTGCAAAAGGAATGGCAGCCTAGAAGACAGTGAAGAATCAGAGAGAAACAGGAAATGGAAAATGAAAATAGAATTAATTTTTCTGAGTTCAGCCAGGGTAAGGTGTCCTCTCTCCACATGCAGAGCTCATGCCAATTCTGCGTCCTGGGCACAACAATGTCACTGGTATTGCAATACTCCTCTTAATTATGAAAAATCCATCACACAGACAGCACTGTCCTGAGGATAATTCCGGTCACCTAAATATGATAACCACAAACTGAATGACCTAACAAGTTTTCATTGGCACAGAATAGGAAGTAACTTTGATGACATCATTTACAAAACTCAAGAACTATTTTAAAAGATTTATTCAATAAAATTATCCTCTAATAGAATAAAATAGTGCACCTTACAATGTACCCAAAATTCATTTGGAAAGTATACAAAAGTGAAGTTCATATAATATACAACAGCTCACACATTTTTAAGGCAAAAACAATCAACCCCATGATTTCACACATACACCAGGAATAAAACAGCACCATCAAGTGTATGGAAATAGAATAACATTATTTCTTTCTCAAAAGAATTCAGATGATTTCAATATAAATAACATTCTAAATAACTGTACATATGGAAACATCAATTCTTTTGATATATTCAAGTATACAAACATTACCCAACTACATTTAAAGTTTAGAGTACTCTCTGTAATAAAACATCTGATTTAGAGCAATAACCTGAAATGCATTTTGGCTACTTATCTAGTCTGAATTCAGTGAAATTTTAAAATCCATAATCAATTATATACTTGGTTAAAGTTTTACATCTTTAAAGTCACTTAAGGCATAAATTCCTTGGAGCTTTATAAACTGTATATTCTAAACAAAAATCCTTCCTCTTATATCATGAATCTATAATTTCTACCCAGTTACAATCCTAATGACACAGGGGCTATAAGTCCAATTATATGATTTCCCACATTCTTCAGTTTTAAGGTTTCCCTCTAGAACAGATTGGTTCTCAATCTTCTTAGTGCCTCGACCCTTTAATACAGTTCCTCATGTTGTGGTGACCCCCAGCCATAAAATTATTTTCATTGACACTTTATAACTCTAATTTTGCTAGTTATGAATTGTAAACATGTTTTCAGATGGTCATGACCCACAGGTTGACAACCTGCTCTAGAATAAACTCCAATGAGAGCAATAAGCTACAGATGCTGATTAAAGATTTGAGGACAATGTTTGCTCTTGTAATTTCTCCCCAGTATGAAATCTGAAAGTCAGGTAAGGTTTGCATACTGAGAAGCTTTATCACATTCTTTATTATCTGCTAGATCTCGATCCAGTAATAATGACCAGATGTTGTATGTAACATAAATGAGAATATACACTATGAGACATGCCTGATAATGTATAAGACCTTACTTTATCATTTTCAATGTAGCTTCAACCTTTGAAGCTTATATCCTTAGATGAAAACTTTGTTATCGCGTGGGTAGAGGCTCCAGCCCAAACTCTACATTTGTAAGGACTCTCTTTAGTATGACGTCCCTTAGGTACACCAAGACATGAGTGCCTTTCAAAGGCTTTTCCACGTTTTTCACATTCGTGAGGCTTCTTGCCAGTATCCAGTCTGTGATGTTCAGTAAATTCTCACAGCTGGTAAAGCACTAAGACACTCCTCACATCTGTAACTCTTCTCTCAAGTATGAGTTCTGCTGTACAGTAAGGCAGAACACTGATGAAAGGCTGTTATATTATCTACATTTATAAGGCTTCTCTCCAGTGTGAGCTCTCTGTTGCTTAGTTAGGGATGCAGACTGGCTAAAGGCTTTGCGACAGTCTTTACATTTATAAGGCTTCTCTCAACTGTGAATTCTCTGATGCCTAGTAAGGCCTGAGGAGTTTACAAAGGATTTGTCACATTCTCTACATTTATAAGGCTTCTCTCCCGTATGAATTCTCTGATGTACAGTAAGATTTGAGGATCTGCTGAAGGCTTTCCCACATTCTCTACATTTATAAGGTTTCTCTCCAGTGTGAATTTTCTGATGATTAGTAAGGGTTGATAAGTGGGTAAAGGCTTTGCCACATTCTCTACATTTATAAGGTTTCTCTCCAGTGTGAACTCTCTGATGATTAGTAAGGGATGTGTACTGGCTAAAGGCTTTGCCACATTCTCTACATGTATAAGGCTTCTCTCCAGTATGAATACGCTGATGACGATTAAGGTATGAGGAGTAGCTAAAGTTTTTGCCACATACTTTACATTTATAAGGCTTCTCTCCAGAATGAACTCTCTGATGGTAAGTAAGGTGTGAGAACCGCCTAAAGGCTATGCCACATATTTTACATTTATAAGGCTTCAAACCAGAATGAAATCTTTGATGATAAATAAGGTGTGAGTACTGGCTAAAGGCTTTGCCACATGCTAAACATTTATAAACGTTATCTGCAGCATGAATTTTCTGATGGCGAGTAAGTTTTGAGAGCTCACTGAAGGCTTTGCCACATTCTCTACATTTAAAAGGCTTCTCTCCAGTATGTACTCTCTGATGTAGATTAAGGGAGGAGGAATAGCTAAAGGTTTTGCCACATTCTCTACATTTATAAAGCTTCTCTCCAGTGTGAACTTTCTGATGACGATTAAGGGAGTAGGACTGGTTAAAGAGTTTTCCACATTCTCTACATTTAAAAGGCTTCTCTCCTGTATGAACTCTATGATGCGTAATAAGGTTTGAGCGCCACCTAAAGGCTTTGCCACATGCTTTACATTTATAAGGCTTCTCTCCAGAATGAACTCTCTGATGATAAGTAAGGTGTGAGAACCGGCTAAAGGCTTTGCCACATACTATACATTTATAAATGTTATTTGCAGTATGAATTTTATGATGGTGAATAAGTTTTGAGAGCTCACTGAAGGCTTTACCACATTTTCTACATTTAAAAGACTTCTCTCCAGTATGTACTCTCTGATGATGATTAAGGGAGTAGGACTGGCTAAAGACTTTTCCACATTCTGTACATTTATAAGGATTCTCTCCAGTGTGAACTTTCTGATGACGATTAAGGGAGTAGGTCTGGCTAAAGACTTTTCCACATTCTCCACACTTATAAGGCTTCTCTCCAGTATGAACTCTCTGATGCTTAGTAAGGTGTGAGGACCTTGTAAAGGCTTTGTCACATTCTGCACATTTATACGGCTTCTCTCCAGTATGAACTCTCTGATGCATAGTTAGGTCTGAGGGCCAGCTAAAGACTTTCCCACATTCTGAACATTTATAAGTTATTTCTTCCCTAGAATTGCTATGATGAGTATATTTTGAGGATTGACAAAAGCCTGTTCCATTTTCCATGAGTTTGTAAGGTTCCGCAATAGTATGAATTCTTCCCTCATGTACAATAAGAGATGAATGACATTCAAATGTTTTGCCACATGCTTTACATTTGTAAGGCTTCTCTCCAGGATGAATTCTCTGATTTATAGTGCAACCTGAAGGCCAAATACATGTTTTACCAGAATCTTTACATTGATAAGATTTTTCTCCATTATGGACTTTTTTCATTTTATTTAGATTGAATATTTGACTGAAGACGTTCCCACATGAATTCCATTGGTAAGCCTCTTCCCTATCATGAATATTCTCTTGTTCAGTGTAATTTGAAGACTGCTGAAATGACTGGACACTTTTATTTCCTTTTTGTGTCTTATCCACAATAGGCATAACCTGACATATATTGTGATTGGATATTTGGTCAAAGACTCTTCCACTTGTATAATGGTCCTCTAAAAGCTCACTTGTCTGATGATTAAGATGTGACTCTTGCTTAAACTTTTCCCAATGTTCAATCCATTGATAACTGCTATTTCCATTATGTGTACTCTGGTGATAATGGGAGATAGAAAGGCCTTTAGTGACAGCTGTAATTTCATTAAACATGTACACTTGTTTCATAAGTACCATTTTGTGATACCCATTAAACCAAGATAGTTGTATAAAAAAAAGCTTTCTGAATTTATTAAAATTATAGATAAAAATAAGCACAAAACATTGTCAGGATGAATCCTTGTCTAAAAGATTTCCAAATTACCCAGCCAGCATGTCTCAGTGGTTGAACTTTGAAATCTCAACAAGAAGGTCATGGTTCCATTTCCAGTGAGGGCACATGCCCTGATTTTGGGATCAGTCTCCCATGGTAGGCATGCAGGAAGCAGACAAGGAATGATTCTCTCTCATCATTGATGTTTTCCTCTCCCCTTTATCTCCCCTATTCTCTGAAATCACTAAAAATATTTTTTTAATAAAAAAACATTAAAGAGCCAAAACTGGTTTGGCTCAGTGGATAGAGCATCATCAGCCTGCAGACTGAAAGGTCCCAGGTTCGATTCCGGTCAAGAGCATGTACCTTGGTTGAGGGCATATTCCCTGTAGGGGTGTGCAAAAGGCAGCTGATCAATGTTTCTATCGATGTTTCTAACTCTCTATCCCTCTCTCTTCCTCTCTGTAAAAAATCAACAAAATATATGAAAAAATATTTAAAAAAAACATAATTGATTGCCAAATTGAGCACATTTTAATTTTATACATATATTATGAATCTATACATTTTAGAAATGATTGAAAGTTTAATCCCACCCTATATTTTAAACAATTCAAATGATTATTTACAGATTATGTGAATTCCTAGTTTATACAGATTTTCTTTCCAAGAATGCATAACAGTAAATAATTGTTTTCAACCCTCATGTGCATAAACACACAGATCTCCCAATGTAAGTGAACTTAAATTGGGAGGTTTCTCAAATGCGTTAATACACATGACCTCTTTAGGTAACAAGAATTTCATTATGATAACTAGAGTCCTGGTGCATGATACTGTGCACGGGTGAGGTCCCTTGGCCTGGAGGGCGATGGCCCAGTTCCGATTGGGGTGGATGGGGGCCAGCCAGCCAGAGAAGTACAAATGGTAGATCAGTGTGTTTCTCCAGGGGATGCCCGGCCCTCTCATCCAGTCCCGATCAGCCGGACCCCAGTAGCAAGCTAATCTACTGGTCAGATCATCTGTCCTGGTGGTTAGTGCATGTCAAAGCGACTGGTTGAAAGGTTGATCAAATGGTCGACCAATTGGTCGGACACAGCAGATTACGCTTATATTATATCAAAGTATTTCAGATTAGTTCTGTTTATATTAATATCCTCCGTTCTCATTACACTCTTCCTCAAATTCTAAGGTTTTCATTTAGTGTACATTATATCTTACCAGTATTATTTCAGGGCATAAATCTTGTATTCCAGGCTTTAGCATAAAGGTATGGTTACCTTTAGATAGTAGAGCTGAAAGAAAACAGATATTTAGGTTTTGACAATCAGGTGAGTGTACTTTGAACTTACCAGCAGAAACTGACCAAATGACATTCTGGAGTCCTCCAAGAGCAAGTGCAGAATTCAAACAAAGCTCAAGACAGGTACAATGAAGAAAACTAACATGAAAAAGGAACACAGAGTTGCTTACATTTATCAATGGTACCTGCTCAAACCCCTTGGAAAACGATGGCAATATTACAAAAACACAACCAATTCTCAGTTGTTTCTTTGAGAGAGATAAGGGAAGTGCGTGTTGAATGATCTCCCTGTTTTGAAGCATCTTGAATAACAAGCGTCTGTTGTGCGTGACACAGAGTACAACAGAATGGCGGTACACAGTGAGTGCCCTGTAGCAGCCACTACTAAGAAACAAAGAGAAATTGCTTGAGCACCACAAAGATTGTGGTATTGAAGATATATATGAAGTCTAAAAAGATACTGTGGGTCTGAGAAAGACACAGAGAATATTTCAACTAGGGAAATTAAACAGAGAACCTAGACAAGAATACAGATCCTGAAAGGATTTCTTCCGCAAATGGTTATTATTTGTTTCCTCCTATAGAAAGCATGTTCAAAAGCCCACTACCTTACAATTGTGGAATCTCAACAAAAACATCATGTCGTTCAAAAAAGTGTACCACCAGAAAAAAAAAAATAAATGTAATCAAACTGACACTACATTAATGAAAATTTATTACTTACCTGAAAAAGAATTGAACTAAATATCTTAAAGCCCAAAAGAAAACAAAAAGACAACTAAATAATATCCCCAAAATAAAAATAGAATGAGAAAGTATTTTGTATTTTATAAACACCACATTAAAGGGACAATTGAAAATTCTAACACCAGAATTAAAAAATACAGTAGAATCATTAGTGAAAGATATGTTCAACTTCAAAGATCAAATAATTTGTCTGGCAGCAGTAGTTAAGTGGTTGAGCTTCCATCTATGAATTAAGATGGTCACGGTTTGGTTCCATGACAGGGTAGGCTTGTGTTGCAGGCTCAATCCCCAATCATGCAAGAAACAACCAGTTGATTATTCTCTCTCTTCATTGATTCTCTCTCTTCTCTCTCTATCCCTCTCCCTTTCTCTCTGAAATCAATAATGACATATTTTTAAAATAAAATAAATTAAATAATCAAAGAATTTGTACATAAATCATTAAAATATTAATTCATTAAAATTTTGATTAAGAAAAGCCAACAAATGTGAAAATATTAATACAATTTAAGGAATTCCTAAGATACTAACAACTCAAACTTCAAGAGGATACCATAAAGACAGGATAGTGAAAAGGAGAAAGTACCTTATATAAAAAGTTAATCTTTTAAGATTCTGACAACTGAAGAAAGACATACAAATGCAAGCAGTCCAATGAAGTCTAAGTAGAATGAATATAAATGTGAGAACAGATTAAAAAACAATGAGAATATCATGAATTCCAGAATACTACCAAATAAAAATATAACTCCTCTTGGAAAAAACAGCTCCTCTATGACCATTAGGGGGTTGGTTTCTAAGTGGAATAATATTGGGGGTAAAAAAAGGGCATGAGCCGAAGCTGGTTTGGCTCAGTGGTAGAGCGTCGGACTGCGGACTGAAAGGTCCCAGGTTCGATTCCGGTCAAGGGCATGTACATTGGTTGCGGGCACATCCCCGGTAGGGGGTGTGCAAGAGGCAGCTGGTCGATGTTTCTCTGTCATCGATGTTTCTAGCTCTCTATCTCTCTCCCTTCCTCCTCTCTGTGAAATATCAATAAAATATATTAAAAAAAAAAAAGGGGCATGAAATAAAACACAGAACTGATAAATGAACAAAAACCACCCAACAAGAATACTGACATAAGAGATCATCAAGAATGGAGAGGACAAAATTTTTCCAGCTCCAAAACTTGCTCGATATCACATCTACACATAATTAGACGTGCCTTACAAATAATCCTTAAGAAATATACTTCTGGAGGTAATTTATAAATTCTACACGGCACTAAAATATGAATATATGAAGATTCTTTGTATGTACAAAAATATAGAGAATATAAAAAATTGTGATGCTCTAGAAAATACACATATCACGTTGATTTCTCCTATGGAACTTTAGAAAATAAGGTGTTTTTTTAAAAAATATATATTTTATTGATTTTGTACAGAGGGGAAGGGAGATAGAGAGTTAGAAACATCGATGAGAGAGAGTCATCGATCAGCTGCCTCTTGCACACCCCCTACTGGGGATATGCCCGCAACCAAGGTACATGCCCTTGACAGGAATCGAACTCGGGTCCCTTCAGTCCCTAAGCCAACGCTCTATCCATTGAGCCATACCGGTTTAGGCCAGAAAATAAGATATTTTAAGTAGTTACCATGCTCACAACAAAGAGAGAAAATCATTACAGTGGTGCCTCACACAACGAACTTAATTTGTTCCAGGAGCAAGTTTGTTATGCGAAAAGTTCGTTATGTGAAACGCGTTTTCCCATAACAATACATGTTAAAAAAAATAATTCGTTCTGTAGCATAAAATATGCTAAGATAACATAAAAAAAGATAAATTTTTTGTTATTATTTTTATTTAGATACATCTAAAAACATAATTTTTTTTTTAAAAAACACACATTTTTTTTAATTTTAAGACAGACTAAGTAGAGTCTACCGAATCTTGCACATCTTCATCCATTTTCTGCTTTTTGGCTGATGGTTTCATGAAAAACCTGTCCAAAGTCGTTTGTTTTTCTCTTTTCTCCAACATCTGCCAGAAATAACGGACAAGAGTATCGGAGTAAAGATCGTTGATCCTGTTTGCTTCAGCTGAATCCGGATAGTGGGCATTGGTAAACTCCTGAACTGCTTTCCATTTGACCAGGATGTTCTTGATGTCAGCAGTTGGGATTGGTTGATTGTTTG